TGTCTTCCAGAACGTGGATAAAAAAAAAGAAGTCTCAAATTTTTCTTGCGCCAAAACTAAAACATTCACCGGCCGAACTTCATATTATTATTCTGAAGTTTTTTAGACTTGTGATAATATATTTACTGTGTTTCTTCACGTGTTTTATATTATTCGGTAAGTACAGTTTTATGTAATAATAAAGCAAACTGCAGATACTCGTAATGAGCACAAATACCCAATAATGCCAAATTATCTTTAGGGAAATATTCTTCCCTGTGGTCCATAACAGGCATTTTATTATATTGTTAGTACATGTAATACTCTTTAGTAATTTACTGTTTTCTATATATTTTTATTATGTTTTTCTATATTTTTTTACAGAAATGCCTAGATAGTGCTTCAGTAAAGAGGAGACAAGCAGGAACCACTCTAAAAAATTATGTTATAAGCATGGAAGTGATCCAGCGGTGCAATAATATACTGGGTTGTGTGGACCTTATGAACCAAAGCAAAGCCTTTTGAGCTTTATCATAACAAATATGATAAAGCTCATAAGGCTTTGCGCATTTATCATATTCTTATTAAGCCTACATTATTATCTCTCCTGATGGAAAATGATGATCAGGCTGAAGGTGTAGGCGAGCATCACCCGGAATCCTCAAGAACAGAGTAACTGGCTATATTACCTCCAACTGCGGGAACACAACAAGCTGCTAGCTAGCATTGTTGTTATGGCGACAGACTTGTTTTGGTACGATGGTCGTAGCTAGCCAGGTGGACTAAGAACAAGCCCTGTCACCAACAAAACCAAACAGAATATAAATCTGCCCCCACTGAGAATAGGACCCGGGACCTCTGGCTATGAAGCAGATGGTCTTTCTACTAGACCACAGAGGCGGTTCCATCTCTTTTTTATGTTCTAGATAGATAAGATAATGCTATGAACAACGCGTACTGAGAGTACGTAGAGTTGCACAAAGAACCCTGCGTAGAAGAACCGCTCCTGAGCAATCTTGAGAATCACCACATCTTGAGATTACACGAGACATGTAAAATTATCTAATAATAAATAATTGTACATGTACAGTCATTAAAGACCCTTGTGTGTTGTTCTTCTATCATTTTTACTTATGTTTTTTGTGTTATAAAGCAATAAATAAAATACATATGAGCCAAACCTTACTATTATTTCAATTACCCTTATAGCCCACAGGGAAAAATATTTCCCATGAAATTTCAGAAAAACTGTGCACCCTACTTTGTTTTTCTGGTGATATTTCTTTATTTTAGATCCAAAACAAATATAAATATTAATACGTTACTTATAATTAGTCTTAGATATCTTATGGTCGTGTAAGGGTTAAGGACCACCTAGAAGGTGGAGTGTAAAAATGTCCAACTGTGTTAAAATATTTCCTTCCATGTTTTCTGCAGGTGGCCAATACTGGGCTTACAACATGGGTCAATCTGCGATGTGAAATAGTAATAGAACCAAAATTTTTTTACAATGATACGACGGTAACAGTAAGTACCTACTTATATTATGTCGTTTAATTAAGTTACGTATTTTTATTGTAAAGATTATATTGATGCTACTTTATTTAACTAGGTACCTACTATATCAGAATTCTTATTTACAAGTTAACCAAATAAGTATAGCATTAATACTTAGCAGCATTAGTTAAGCAGTTAGTTTAGGACAATTATTTTTGTAGTCCTTTTATTTTTATAAAAAGTTCATTATTTAATTAACTTTTGCAAATTTTCTTATAAAGAAAACTTTTAAGTCTTTGCATTAACTTTCTAAGAAACTGCTAGAAACTTCGTCACTATTGTCATCCACTATTCCAAAATTTTACAAGCTATTCTCTACTGACGTCAGTGAGAGCTAGACACATTATCTACCTTATAACCTTTTACCCGACTGCGCCAGAAGGAGAATTATGTTTTTCAAATGTATGTATTTCAGCGTGAGAACTGAGAGGTGTCGTTAGATTCGTCTTAATTGTGACAGTGATACCAAAAGTGGTTATCAAAATTGGAAAAAATACTCATTCAGTATCTTGTACTTCTCAGGTAGACACCCAAGGAGGGTCCTGCGAACCGCTTCTGAAGAATAAAGACGGGCAGTATACAACGACGTGTACCATCGCGGAGCTTCGGAAAGACCACAAGTTTGACGTCATCATCCCCATTTATATAGAGCCGGGTTTGGTTGGTAAGTTAAATAAAATCCAACGACTCAACGTCACTAACGCCCGTATTAACAAACATTACTATGAGGTCTCACAGTGCACGTGGACGCGCAGGGTGACACATGAACCAATCACAGAGCTCTATTCAACGCTGTGCGTTCGATTAGCTGCAAGCGTCGTTTGTGAATACGGGTGTCAGACTTTATGGGGATACAGTGCTGCCACCTCACGTAGAACATTTCAGAAAACCCTCATTGTAAAATTACAGACCCTGCTGCTCTCCGCGGTGAAAAAAGCAAAGTAACAATTTCATCCCGCATGAAGCTGATATACGAGAACCAATCACAAGAGATAAGGTAAATTGGGACTTATTTCTATATACAGGGTGGAATTTTCTAATGCCACCTGGAGGGAAAGATAAGTACTCTTAATACTGTAGATAGAAAATTTTACTCAAAGAAAACATTCCTTTATTTTTGAAAAGAAATAGAACTGCATTCAAAGATTTCCAAAAATTTGCATGCTACACCCGGGAATCGAACTAACTAAAATCTGTCAAAAATTACACCCTGTATTTTTATTGCATCGATCGTTAGGGTTAAGTATAAGAATGAAAACAAACTTGATAAATCAAATGAAAGGGAAACCTTGAAATCTAAAATTGTCGCTTTAACAAACAATTATTTTTTTATAACAGCATAATCAGCAAGTTGAAGTTGAATGAGGCTGTGGTGCCACTTTGGGTCATCATCATTGCAGCTCTGGTGGGCCTGCTCATCATAATCATCATCGTAGTCGCCCTGTATGAGGTTCGTATGTAATCAATGTTGTAAGTCGTTATAAGAAAGACGGACAAAAATACTGTCTTATGATTAGTTGCATCCTAATCAACTTGTTTAAATAACAGCGAAACACACCTTGCGATGCGTTGCGGCGACGGTGCGACGCCGTGGTCACTGCGTCTTATATAGAAATATCTGTGGCGGGCACACGAGCGGTGCGGCGCCGCAAGTTATTGTGTGCTTTCGGTCCGACCCATCATATTTTTAACTATTTATATTTTATTCTCTTACTCCTTTAAATACAGACTTATTCTATAGGCAATTGATTTTCTTTTTCAGTTGGGCTTCCTGAGACGAAAAAAGAGAAATGATTTGAAGAGATTAAGAAATAGTGTCCGTCGTCAAACTATTGTAAGTAAACCTAAAGACTATAATGAAACGTCGGTCGAAATTAATTATGGTTTCTGTTTAGCGATATTTTCCTTAATGCCACATAAAGCTTTATATTGATTAATCGTACTAATATTAATAAAATAAAATTGTGAAAGTTTGTGATGCTGGATAAACTTTTTACTCTTTCACGAAAAATTAACGAAACTTGAGAAGTTTTAGTTAAAATTTTATTTATATTTTTCTTGTAATTACTTTCATGTGTACTACCACCCCTGAGATGGGCGTTTTTACAAAACCACACCCTGTATTAAGACATTTATCATTTATAACAGCGTCGTTCGATGCGCGTCGAAAGTATGCGTGCATCAGCCGGAACAGATCGCCCTGTTGACGAGGAGAAACTTATCCAAGAAAATGGAACAAATGACGAACATAAAGGCACAGATCCGCCTGTCCAGAGCACAGACCCGCCCAAAAAGAGCACAGACCCGCCCAAAAAGAGCACAGATCGCACATACCTGCCTAAAAAGAGCACAGATTTGCCAGAAACGAGCACAGATTCGCCAAAGAACTCAGAATCTAACAATGACACAGTTAAGTACACTAAGGCCAACGATGACCCGGTTATTGACAATGACAAATGTAAAATCATGTAAGTATCTTGCTGATGGAAATTTTACTACAGAAATAAATGTAGTCTATCTGGAAGTTAATAGAGATTTCTTACTAAGTTGATAGTATTTTTATTAGTAACTTAACATTTACTTCATATTGCAATAAAATTTCCTCCCGATTAATTACCGGAAAATCCGGCACGTTCGCTCAATCTAGCTAGAGGCCTGCCTTTTAAGACATTCAATTCCATGAAGTTATGTAATTTTAAAGGTAAGTTGTGTATATTTGAATTGAATTGACTCTGAAACTACTGGACTTTATTTGAAAAATTCTTTCACCCTTAGATTTGTTTTTTTCTTCTGATGAAAATAGGCTATTTATACATATTTTTTAATTTGTAATTTTTGTTATCTAACCCTGCAAAACCGGGACGGATGACTAGTGTGTTGTAACTAAAACGGTTGCTTCCTCTTTTACAGAAAAAACCACCAAATCATTCGCGGGTTGCAGAAAAATTTAACACAAAACCGTTCCTTGACTCACCTGGCAGTGACTCCGAAGGAACCCAATGACAACGCTCTGAACACTCATATGTAATTTATAATAATTAATTTAAATCAAATAAAATGATTGTAATGAGTTTTTAATAAAATGTTGTTTATGTACTCGTATTTATGTGCCAATAGCACCTAGAATTTTTAGTTTATGAAAAATCGACTCTCTTCTTTCTTATTTTAATGTATATCACTTCAAAGACTATTTACCCACTCAAATATCAAAATCACCCTTTTAAAACTTAAAGAAATGGTTTAAGTTTTTATTTTATAAAATCCTAAATCTAATATCTAGCGCAGACGAAAAGATTTCGAAAACATGCAAATAGATTTAATTTTGATTAAAAGAGGCTGCTAAGAGATAATAAATGCACCAATCTATTTTAGTAATTTATTTTAAATAATATAACTAAATCGCCGATTAATCTAAATAAGTGTTATTAGAGATCACTTTGCGACTAAACAATTTGATATTATTGTCCTATTTTGAAAATATCTACAGTTTTTTCACTGCTTAGGAAACGTAACTAAGGCTTTGGTCTTCTATAGATGCCGTAGACCTCGTCACAATGCTTAGTTACTTTAAAAAATGACTTTTGTGGTCTCCTTCAGACGTCGATATTAACGTCCATAGGAACGTTTGACGCTAACATAAACATCGTACGCCGCAAAGGTCTCTACCCACTACACAAATAAATATTATTTGTATTGAAAAGTTTGACACTGTTCCCAGTAGACCGTTTCGTCACCGACCAACACCGTCGCGTGCCATGCACGGAGCGTCAACAAAAGTCGGCGAGCATACGTGATGTAAACACCTATGATGACCGTTATATTGGTGTTGTAAGCGCATAACAGTTAATTTTCTGATGGTCATACCTATTTTACAGTTTAAAAATTTGGTAGAACTCCAAGACGTGAATGAAACGGCAACATACGGGTTACATACATACTGGCATCATACGGGATGTATACGGGCACAGAACGCCGTCGATCCGTTCAGTGGGCATAGTAGAGCGTATCGTGTTGCTTTTCGTGCCTGACACGTTCCTAGCACGGTCATGGTATGATACGGTGTAGTGGGTAGATACCTTAAAGCATTTAATAGGAGACCTTAGCCTTATTAATGACAATCTTTTATCGTTAATTATGTCTGTGCAGTTATTTCCTTCTCGCATATAAACCCGTAGCGATAGCTACAGTCGACGTCGTTGAGTTTGCCGTCGTTTTTGAACAAAGTACCGCAGTTTTCGTTCTGGAGTGCGTTGTTGGGCTCGTTGTCTGCCCATGTGCTGTAGCCTGCATCTTCAAGGGTTTCGTCTGGAGAAAAACACCAAAGTATAATAGAAGCATTCGATCCCCCATCTCACAGAAAAGTATCAAGCCTAAGGCTGAGTTCCACCATCTTAGTTTAACTTTAAAAAACGTCAAAATCTGTCGAACTCCATACAAAAAACACCGGCTATTTTTACAGTTACGGTTAAGTAAGTTGAAGCAACTAAACCTAGGTCAAGCTCATTACTGTATCCTGAAAACTAGACTTGTGTTACACGGCACAGCACGGGTTTTTTAAGAAATGTAGGTAGGTATGCAGGAAGCTGCTGGTACACTAACTGTATTATAAACGGAATTATGCGGCATAAAATGAGACGATGGTAAAGTGCTCTAATGCCCGTTTTCACCATCAATCCCTAATTTCTAAGTGACGCATATGAAAACAAAATTCTTGTTATGTGTTATCAGATCACTTAAAATTAGGTATTGCTGGTGAAAACGGGCATAAGACTTCCAAACGTAACGTCATACAGACCAGTCAATTTCACATGCATATTATTACTGGTTTAGAGTTATCTCCTAAGCTATCTACAGTAGTAACTTAAAACAGATTGCGATTGTACTCAGGCCTCTAAATGTATAGAGGGAGGGCCGCGTGGACCATGTCCCACCCCAGAAAATGTACAACTTTATCATCATTTAAATATTAACCACGGGCTGGAAGACGTAGCGTGGGCAGGCCTCCTACTAGGTGGACCGACGATCAGGTGAAGGTCGCGGGAAGAGCCTGGTAGCGGGCGGACGAAATAGTAATCGCACAGCTGCTTCATGCCATGTGAGGTTCCGGGTCCCCCTGGAAAATAACCATAGATACGGCACTGACGATACTCACTGAAAATGGTTTTAAAAACCCTCTGCTGATCAGTCGTCTGCGCCCTGAAGCCAGCGTGGAAGAACCACGTCTCCCTCGCCTCCTGGATCCTAGGGGCCGAGTTCATGAGCCGTTGGACCTCGTCGTGCTCAGCTTGCGAGTTGAGAACCACCAGGTGAGCTCCCTCCGCTGCGCACTCCGCGTACGCTTGATTCCAGGTGTAGGCTATAGTGGGGATTTGGTAGCAACTGTTGACGGTGCGTGCTCTTTGGAAATCTGTAATGGCAAATAGATGAAGGTTGAAGTTGAAACTCCAAAACAATCATTATCTCTTATTAAGAAACCCTTTTGAAAAAGAAATGATTAAAATAGGGGTAACGTTAGCTTTATTTTTCATTGGGACAACATGACACACTGTTCAAAACGGTTGAATCTTCTGGGGACTTACCAGCAGTCGTCTGCCATTACATTGATTGATAAGACATAATCACCATGTTAAACTTTAATTTGAAAAATCGTAGAATTTCTCTTCAAAAATTCACTGGTTTTCAATATATTTTTATAGCCATAAAAGTTGGCTCAAGCGTAACTACCTATTTTTTGAAGAAGTAACTCTGGATCCTTCTAAAGACACATTTTTGGGGTAAAAACCTTTCCTTTAATGAAATGAAGGTTAGAACTAGGCTTTTAAATGGTGCCAATATTGGTGAGAAGTGGGGATGCATACGTTAGAAAATGCTTGTCGCGGGAGGTGCGATTTATTTGATGTCGAGTGTATTATAATATGGAAGCAATAAATATGTTGAGTATTGAGCATATTTTCATCTTACCGTTCCCATAAACGTTGCACTCCTTATTGTAAGGGGCTTTCGCGGCATCCACCTTGCAGATGAAGGGCCGGTCCTTGAAGCACGTGATGCTTACGATTTCACCCTCCCGCGTCACGGCATCGCACTCCCGTTGCCACAATGGCACGTATTCCTCTGTAGGAGGCTGCACTGGTGTGAAATCAAAAACAAATTACATCAATATTTCTTTGTCAGCCAAACTAGCTTCAGCTTTCAGTGACTATAATAATTTATGGCTCCTACGACGTCACAAAAACATTTTTTGCGTCGGGACAAGCATTGCTCATACCCAGTTTAACTTTCCCCCGGTACAAACTTGACCTTCACTGGTTGGGTTTTTATTGACTAAGCGGTAGATATGGCTACATAGGAGTTCCCGTGTACCCTATGGCGGAACAACTAGTGGGTTATGTGGACTCTTTCCGCACCTACCCACCAAAACGCGGGGCCTCCCACTAAAACCCGCGGTGTCCACCGGAGCCCAATGAAACGGAGCCGCAAGTTAACCTATCAACGAGTCATCTTTATAACGTCATACTTAATAACAATAAGTATCGTGCCTTTGCAACCCACCTGAGCTGGGTGGAGTAGGTACCTATGTGAAGGACTTGGAACTCCCCACACTGGTTAGCCGGGTTTGCTTCTGATAAACTAAAGAGGGTCGTGATACTGCATTGTACTAAATGGCCTGATGATGGTGATGGTGGTCATATCATTATGGCAATTGCTATAAACCTATACCTAAGAAAATACCTACTGAAAATATCAAAAACAAAAAATAACTGCAGTTCATCAAATTGTCCTGCTGACCTGAATGACTGGTAAAATAATCCTACTGTAGATTGTGGAAAGTAAGTAGGTTAATTTAAAACGAATAAATTGTCAACCCTGTAAAACACTCGTAATTAAGGGCAAATAACAAATGAATCCGATTCAGAGAGGAATTCACTGTATATGCCCGCCATTGTTGATTGGATATTTATGTTTTAAGTGTATTGATATTTTAAACAGTACAGTACTTAATTATAATAAATAAGTAGAACTCTTTGTTGCGTCAACTTCTGGAAAACCCTAGATAATATTTTTAAATATCAATAACCTACGAGTACATTCTAAATCTGGTATTCAATATTTATGATGATATTAAAAATTTAGTGGAGTAGAGTGGAGTGGGAGTGATCCTTTTCTACTCTACTGGAACAATAAAACCAACCAGTAACGTACTTACAGTTAATTAACGGTTGTTCCTCAGCAGACTCGTGAGTCTGTCCATCATTGGCCACCCAGACGAAGTTGTCCAGGTCTGGGTACTTCTTGAACATGCCGTGGAGCTGTGCTATGTCTTGCTGGGAGGCCGGCATCATCAGAACTGCCCCTTCTGCCTGACAGACCTTCGCAGCATTCACAGGGTTGGCAGTCTCTATGTGCAGCTTGTAAAACGCATCTGTGTATCTGTTGTACTCATAGTCTGTGCGGTAAACCTTATTGGAGAGGACTGTTGTTACAACTGGAAGAACAAATGTTGATTCAGGCTGGGTTGCACCCTCTTACTTTAACTTTAACAAACGTCAAAAATTTGTCAAACTCCATACAAAAAACACCGATTATCGTCATAGTTACGGTCAAAGTTAGGTGGTGCAACTCTGCCTAAGGTAGTAATTTTACCAGCAATTTGGTAAAAAAATACACTGCAAGTAGTTGTACTCTATCAAACAAGAGATAGGTAAGCATTTTCCCATCGTAAATAAATAATTTCTTTTTCTGTATCCCATCAAAATAAGTAAATAATTAGTAAACTCCAGGATATAAAATAAAGTCACTTACCAGAAAACAAATAAAACGCCAATGTCAAGAGACGCGACATCTTCAAGACCTCTTCCTGCCCGCACCGGTGCTTATCTGACCACACGACAGACTCCTGCCCAGTGTAGTAAACAATGTCTCTACATAAACATGCAGTGATTATAGCCTAAGAGCTAGTGAACGTCTTACACACCATCCTCCAGACCTACGTCATTTTATAAAAGCTGAAAGTTTGTCAGCGTATGCTCCCAATATAAATTAGAATGCCGGTGAATCATGAAGTTTGGGTCATCGTGGCTTTGGCAGTTATCCTAAAAAAACTGTCTGGCAAGGAGTTGGACTTGTTAGAAAATTCTGATGTCTGATGAGAAAACTACTTCTAATTATTGCCCAAATATACTTAAATAAAAAAATTAGCTTTTATGGTATAACGTAAGCCTAAATTTTCTGTATATTCAATAGACTCCCAAGTAGCAACAGATTATCTTCATAAGGCATTGAAGATATCTTGAAGACTAGTAGCCTAATTCTAGCCGTTGTCTTGGCCAAGACAATAGTCGCACTCAATAAATCTTGAAGTTATGCCCCAAGACAATGGTAGCAAAAAAGGACACAATCCTTTGGAGATCACTGAGACAGAGTTAAGACAACGCTTAAGGCAGACTTAAACTCTAATTAAGAGTGTAGTTTTAAGAATTTCTAAACAAGTACTATAATTATATCTTGTAGTATGACTGTAGACAAGGAAATAGAGTTGAAGATATCTTGAATACTTATTTAAGACTAATAATTATTTTCAACCGACTTCAAAAAAAGGAGGAGGTTCTCAATTCGACCCGTATGTTTTTTTTTTTTTTTCTATGTTTGTTACGCGATAGCTCCGCCAATTATGAACCGATTTGAACAAATCTTTTTTCAGCGTATAGGTAATATCTCAAGGGTGGTCCCATTTAAATTTAATAATAAAAAAAACAACCCCCAAGGGTGGAAAATTGGGGATGAACTTTTTTATACGCAATATCTCCGCCGATTATAAACCAATTAGAACGATTACTATTTTGTTGAATAGGTATTATCAAAAGGGTGGTTTCATGCGAATTTGAAGAAAATATTTCACCCCCAAGGGTGGAAAATTGGGGATGAACTTTTTTATACGCAATATCTCCGCCGATTATGAACCAATTTGAACGATTATTTTTTTGTTGAATAGGTATTATCAAAAGGGTGGTTTCATGCGAATTTGAAGAAAATTTTCACCCCCAAGGGTGGAAAATTGGGGATGAACTTTTTTATAATATACATTAAGAATATGGTCTCAATGTACTGCCTACCTTCAGTGGTAACATCAAGGTAATAATTAGTCAACTAAAAAGCAAGAAATAAGTTAAATTTTATAAAAAAAAATAAAACCGACTCCAAAAAACATACACTAAAAAGCAGAATAATAATTACTAATTACCTACTTATTTATTAGGACGAATTATTAATATTTATGTAGGTATACCATGATTGATACTTTTGGAGTCGGTGCAGGCAAACTTTACATGTTTCACAATCTTGTTTCATAATTATTTTTACAGCTAAGGTTTATTTAACTTCATGAAGATCTATGTAAGACACTTTTTATTAAAGAGGAACTTAATTTAGAAAACATTATGATCTTTAACACTAAATCAACTTTAGATAATGGTAAATGAAAATGGCGTTTAAATTTATTTACATAGTATTAGTTTAGAAACATTCGATTTAACTTACACTTAAAATTCACTTGATGAAGCATTACTTAAGTGCATGTGGTATCAAGTAGATCTTTAGTTTTATTTAGTTAAAACTAGATAGTTTTCATTCTGTCTTAGTCTTGCTAAATTATTGGTGCTGCTATACATCAGAGAACAATTAATTTACAAATTATTTGTTAATTACATCATTTTTCCCTCGACTTTGTCCGTGTGGAAGTCGAAAATGGTTCTAATAGGACTAATTGGTTTTTACGTTTCTAGTTTTGTTATAACATATAGGGGAAAGTTCGGTATATTGTACTGGCGGGTAAATTGCACCACCCTCATATTTCGTAAAGTATTCTTTGAACTCTGTAATTGCAACACAACAATTCATTGAATATCAGCCATATGATTTTTGCCGTGTATAATGAACACATGACGTATTTTACTGTGAAAAGTTTTTATTTAATTGTTTTTATGGAACATTTAACCACTTGTAATTGTGTTAAATTTAATCACATATTGTTTCTAATTTATTAAATGAGAAGATTGAGAAGCGTAAAGTCTCATTTAATTAATTATTAGAAACATTTTTTGGTACTTATTATTATGTTAAGATTTTTTTAAAGTACCTACTCTGACCTAGTTAGTTAAATTGTATAATATCATGTTGTACCCAACTTTACCATACCATACAATTTCGAAAATATTTTAGATAATATTTTAGTAAATCATATTTTAACCGCCTCTGTGGTCTAGTGGTAAGATCACCTGCTTCAGACGCAGAGGTCCCGGGTTCGATTCCCAGTGGGGGCAGATTTTTCTGTTCGGTTTGGTTGGTGGTAGGGCTTGTTCTAAGTCCGCCTGGCTAGCTACCACCATCTTACCTAAGTCTGTCGCCATAACAACAATGTTTACAGCATTGTTGTGTTCCGGCAGTTAGAGGTAAGATAGCCAGTTCCTCCGTGGTTGAGGATTCCGGGTGAAGCTCGCTTCCACCTTCGGCCTGATCGTCACTTACCATCAGGTGAGATACAGACCAAGCGCTTCCTCGTTGTGGATAAAAAAAAAGTTGAGAGATAATAGCATAATTTAGTTCGCTAGCGACCACACGCATTTTGTATCAAAAATTAATACAATAAGCTGCGCACGCAGATTCCCGTGGCCAGCGTGCATTACCTTGAATTAATAGGCGTGATCCTGTTTTATCGAAATCGTCCCGTTAAGTGTATTTTTTCTCAAAATGTAATAATTCTAGTAAAAAAGTAATTAACTTAATCTTCAGAAAACTATTTCTAGGATAATGGTCTTTAAAAAGTCCTAAGTAAATCTACGAATACTTTATTTACTTTTCAACACTTAAATACTACTTCATCTATACTATTTAGTATTAAGTGAGCATACAAAAAATCTTAATTTAGTAAAATAGGTTTTTTTTAACTTAAGCTAAGAATAACTTAAGACCAAATTATCTAAAGAATTCTTAACTTGGTTTTGAGTATTCTTAATTTGCTTAAGTAGCGCTCGATGAAGAATGTAAAGTCTTAAAGAAAAAAAACTCTATTCTAAGTTTATTTGGTTTTAGCTTAAGTGTAAATTTATATAGAGTTAAGACAAGTAAGATTTTGCCCTTAATACCAATTGCTACTTGGGCTGTAATCCTTCTTACGTTATAACAAACTAGCTTTCCGCCCGCGGCTTCACGCGCGTGGATTACATTATCTACATATTTTACAGAACCCTATTTTTTTCCAAAACAAAATTTAGCCTATGTTACTCGTTGATAATGTAGCTTTCGAATAGTGAAAGAATTTTTTAAAACGGTCAGTAGTTTTTGAGCCTATTCATTACAACCAAACAAACAAACAAAAAAATAATCTGATTTTTATGCATAATTTTTGGGCAATGATTAGAAGTTGTTTTCACATCAGCCAGATAGTTTTGACAGTTCCAACTACATGCCAGAGTCTGGCAGCCAGACAGTTTTTTTTAGGATAGCTGCCAAAGCCACGATGACCCAAATTTCATGATTCACCAGCATTCTAACCTATATTAGGAGCATACGCTGACAATCTTTCAGCTTTTATAAAATGACGTAGGTCTGACGTTCACTAGCTCTTAGTCTATTAATTATCTCCAGTCTTTGTGACTTATAAGTTATAACACTTATAACAGGAATAAACAACGTTAATCTCAGTTAAGTACACTCGTGATTAAAATAATATGAATAAAGTTCAATTTAGCTGATATTTGGTGAACGGTGTGAATTTCAAGTCTTTTATTGTTTATTGTACAGTGGTATTATTACCAGTCTCTTTCTTGGAAGAGATTGCGTTATGACATCGTGATATGATATTGCATTATAAATAAATATCCTTGGACATTTTACACTACGCCTCTAGTCCCAAACTAAGCAAAGCTTTTACTTGGGTACTAGAAAACGGATATAAACATAGATAAATATTTTTTTTTAAATACATACATAATATACATTAAAAGCGTTCTTGTCTCAAATACGTATTTAATTGATTTTTTTTTATGATACTTATTTGTTATTTGATACTTCCGAGCTAAAGGAAAATAAAGTAATTTCTATATTCACTCTGCTACTAATACTTTGCGGATAAACTGTCAGTTAATTACAGAGTTATCGTAAGTTGACGTCAAAACTCAACAGTTATTACTATTAGGTATCTTATACATTATTATCAGTGACTTCGACAGAAAACTGACTGACTCATCAAAGTAAAACATTTTGCTTCTTTTTTGAAAGCTTCGAACAACAACAACAATTTTGCACCGCCTACACAAATTCCCTGTTTTGCTTAAATTTAACTGGGAGAGAATGCCACATGGCATTAAGTTCGCCTTTTTGTACCGCTTTTTTGTGTGCAATAAAGTTTTTAAATAAATAAATAAACAAATAACATCCATAATCATCAATTTAGAAAATTAGTAAAATAAAAAAGAAATAAAGCTCTGCCTAGAACCTGTAACAAAAGAATGTGCAAAAAGCTCAAGCAAATAAATAAGCTGAGTACCAAGGACATAAAGCTACTTATTTTTCCGTATCGGGTTGATAAACTTTGTAGGTATCAGATGCTAGTACCTACGCATTTACGGACGCTACATTTTTTGTTTCGTGCTGCATCGCCTGTTTATAACTGGTATGCAAAAAATAATTTTTTGGTTAAAAAAATTCGTAACTAAATGATAACCTCCCATTTAGACCAAAATATACAGGACGTTCATTCAAACGATGGCATAATCAATGGCACAACGCAATCTACTAGTAATGCCAAATGGGGCATTATTGGCGATTTAAGATGCATTTTCTACGTTTGTCAAGAAATCGCACAGCAGCCCCAAACCCTTAAACAAAATAAGTAGGTAAACAAGACATAGTGGCAGATTAAGTTATAGTTATATTTACATTACATTCATACTATGTTTTTAAGCAATTTCTTCGCTTCGTGTATGTTACTGTACTTTGTGTAGGTATCTACACCTAATTTACAGTGAGTAGATTTTTATGCGACACTTTTTCTCGGTAAAAACACTAAATAATAGGTGCATATAATATCTTAATGTGATCTTAACTGCCGTTTTTGTTTGCGGGACTCCCTGTATCTATAATGATAATTGGTTGACGTGTACTTATTTGTGCTCGGGTTATCAATAAGTGAGGGACCATGGAGCGATTCGCTGTTTTCATACTAGTGCTCGGTAAACATAACATTATGTTACCTAGAATTAACAAGTCATAATTTAATTTATAAATAAGGCAGTGTTGAATAATGTGATGAAATACCAAATAATAAGTAGGAGTTAGTAAGTGCAGTGTAAAGTTAAATAACAAGGAATGGATAGCTTAATATGACGAGTCTATGCAGGTAGTGCAATCTATTTACTTAGTATGGATATATTAATAATGAAAAATAATAAAGCAAGTAATCGAAAGTAGGTACCTACATACCGAGTTGTTCGTTGAATAGTGTGTGAAATGCACAAAGCGGTGGCTTACTCGTAGGTAGGTACTTTACATAGTGACTTAATAGGATGGGTTGCACCATCTTTCATTAAATTTGACAAAAGGCAAAAATCTGTCGATCTCCATACAAAAACACCGGTTATCGTCATAGTTACGGCACAGTATATATATGAGCTAATGTGGTTACGGTCAAAATTAGGTGGTAGCACAGAATAATAATAAGTACTACGTACAGAAGTTTTACTTCGCGAAGTTATTTAAAAAAATGTATGCTCAATGACATTAACAATATAAATAATAATAAATAAATATCCTTAGACATTTTACACTGCGCTTCTAGTCCCAAACTAAGCAAAGCTTGTACTATAGGTACTAGACAACGGATATAATACATACTTAAATACTTTTTTTTTGTAAATACATACTTATTATATACATAGAAAACACCCAGTCCAATACAAACAAATATGTTCATGCACACTAATGTTTGTACTGTGCGGGAATCGAACCCGCTACCTCCGGAATAGTAGTCCGTTTCGAACCACTACACCAAACGGCCGACAAATTTGGTGTAATTTAGCCTGTCTCAAGAGTCAAGCACCATTTTGTTGACAAACGTCAATGATCGGCACTGCGCCGAAGCTATAGGGCTGACTTCGATACAATGACACGTGAGGTGCCAAACTGCGGAAAATGGCGGAGGAAATATATGATTTAGCATGAATTATTGATGATTAAACGAACTTCGAGTGAAGTTCGATCATAATTATATGAATAGCTTCATTCGAAGATATTATTTACCAGGTAGTCCCTTTAAGCTACTAGGCGACTTCGCAAAATTTTTAGAGACTTTTATTCAGTCTAATTAAAAACAAAACACGTATGGTTTGTATTTTAATATAAAAAAGTATCTTATTTGACTACTTTATTTCTTCCCCCTCCAATAACCCTACCGCCGTAACAGTCGTAATCGGTACTACAGCTCATTCTTTCAGAGTTTTTGCAAAACCTTTTCAGTGGGTATATGGGGGGGTGGGTGATAATATCTTCGAATGAAGCTATTCATATAATTATGATCGAACTTCACTCGAAGTTCGTTTAATCATCAATTATATTTTATAGCTTCATTCTTCAGATATTATTTACCAGGTAGATATTTAGAGTAAAGGGTTTTGCAAATATTAAAAAATAATGTATAATAATTACTTTATACTTTATTCATTTTATCAATACTTAATTCTAATGAACACATTGTTTCTTATTATCAATAAGGTTAATTATCAAATAGATCATTATCATCTTAACATAATTATTTATTGGTTAAAACACATAATTTGTGTTGTACAATATAAGTTAGAATTTAAATTACATAGTAATTATTCATTATTCATAATAACAATTTGTAAATCAGTAATTGGAATCGTAAATCGGCTACCTTTTAGGTAAACATACAGATTTTGCAAACAGGCCGTCATCTTGTATATTTCTATGATAAAATCGAGCGAAGGTACTTGAAGTGTTAGACCAGCCTGCGGCTTTTCTAATTGTTTCTATGTTAGATCCCGCGCGACTCGCAGCTGATGTGGCTGCGTGCCGCGTGCTATGTGCAGTGAAAATGCTTATGTCTATCCCGCTATCTGCCAGCACTTGTTTGACCCAGCGGCTAATTGTTTGTGTGGTTGCTGGTCTATGTGGTGGTTTAAATGTTAATAATAGTTTACCGGAATTATCTTCTCTATTATGTCGCGTTAAAAGAATGTAATCCTTTAGGGTAGTAGCTGGGCAAATTTTGATATTTTCATGAAAGTAAGGCAAATTTAATATAGGTTGTTCATGGCCCGGCCTTGATGTTTTAATGATGTCCGTGATTATAATTCTAATAATGTTATCATTAATAGTTATATTACTTAGTTTTATTAGTGAGATCGTTTGTACTCTTTGAGCTGTACAAATTGCCAATAGTGCTGCTAGCTTTTTAGTGATGTTTTCCAGCGTTAATTCAGTATTGGGGTACAATTTTGAAAGGTGATTAAGAACTAATTGTGGGTCCCATGTATAGGTATATTTGGGTAAGCTAGGCCTTAGTTTGAATGCTCCTTTAAGTAATCGTTTAACGCATTCATCGTTGCCAATACTATTACCTAATAATAAGGACAGTGCTGATCGATGACTATTTAAGGATGCATGCGAACAGCCTTTATTAAATTGTTCAGTTAAAAAACCTAAGATGTGAGATTTTGTCGGTTCGTAGGTATCTAGTTTGTTAGATTCGCAGAAATGCCACCATAGTTTATAGCAAACGTTATATTGCTTTAAAGTGCTGTCAGACAGCGAGGCTAACATTAAGGATATGGCTTCTAGTGGTGTTTTTCGCCGTATGAATGCTTCTTGCAGAGCCTCGCGGCACCCAGGGTAAGAGTCTCGTGCAATGGATGGTGTTCTCTGAAAGGAGATTGCAAAAGTCCTTTATGTGGGCCTAAGTATATTATTTTAGAGGCTACAAGGCTCTGCAGAAATGGAAACCACGGCTGCGAAGGCCATATTGGAAATACTAGTATTCCGTTTGCATTGTCATCTACGATTTTTCTTAAACATTTTAGGATAAGCGAAAAGGGCGGAAATGCATAAAAATTAACGTCTTGCCAGTTTAGGGTGAATGCATCTACTGCGATTGCGTCTGGGTCTTGTTTCCATGATACGAATTTAGTGCATTTGGTATTTGTGCGAGAAGCGAATAGATCTAGGTCGGGTTGACCCAACTGTTCAACGATGGTTTTATAGCTTGAGTCGGATAACTGCCATTCGGTGTCAGGATTTATAATTCTAGATGCAGGGTCGGCTTTATTCTCTTTGGTATTAACATAAGACGCGAATAACCAGATATTTCGTTTCTCGCACCATTGCCAAATAAGACGAGATAGGTCGTTTAAATGGGGAAACTGAATGCCTCCCATGCGGTTTACATAACTTATGGCTGTTGTATTGTCTACACGTAACAATATTGCGCTGTTGGTTATTTGGTTAGCAAATACCTTTAATCCTAAAAAGACGGCTAGCAGTTCTTTATAATTAATATGGTGTTGTTGTTCATCAGCTTTCCAAGCTCCATGAGCTCGTTTGTTTCCGCACGTAGCTCCCCACCCTGTACTAGACGCGTCTGTATAAATTTCGAGTTCGAAATTTGAATATCGCATGGGGTTAGAAGTTTTAAAGATGTTATTTAACCACCATTTAAGATCTTCTAGTATGACTATAGGGAGTATGATGTTTGTTTCGTAATTATCATTTTTAAGTAAGGCTAAGTACTTTTGCCTTTCCAATATCTTTGTGTATACCCAACCGTACTTTACGGCTGGGCAGGCTGCGACTAATACCCCAATTAATTGTGAAAATTCTCGTATCGAGCATTTGGTAAGAGTTGTAAATTTTTTAACCAACTGAGCAATATTGTTTCGTTTTTGTTCGGGTAATGTAATGTGTAATGATTTGGTATTGAAAACAAAACCTAAAAAGCGACAAATGTGATTTGGCTGCAGAGAGCTTTTTTCAAAGTTTATTACGAAACCTAAGGATCGCAGGAGTCTCAAAGTCTCATTAACGTTATTTTTACAATCGATAAAGTTGTCTCCAATGCATAAAATATCGTCTAGGTAAATCACTGATTTAAAGCCGAGATTTCTGAGATGAGAAATAACTTCTTTCATAATTTTTGTAAACACCCAGGGTGCCACTGATAGACCATAGGGCATAGCAGTAAATTCATATGTTTCAATGATTGAATTGGAGGCTTTTTTGCACTGAAAACGCAAGTATTTTCGGTCCTCGGGATTAATAGGGATCAAAAGGTAGGCTTCTTTTAGGTCTATTGTTGCCAGATAAGCATTTTTTGGGATAAGTTTGCATGCTGTTCTATAGTCTTCCATTTTGAAATGAGACTTTGAGACGAATTTGTTAAATTTTTTCAAGTTCAATATAAAACGTTTGTCGCCATTAGGTTTTGGTGTTAAAAATATGCTAGACAAGTATTGGTCAGTGCGAGGTGTACATTTTTCAATAGCTCCTAAGTCTATAAGTTTGTTTAAGGCGATATTTAAATCTTGATATTCAGCATGTGAGAAATTACATGGAGGTATGTTATATTGAACTACTTCTTTACAAAAAGGTATACGTAAACCATTTTTAACACAGTCTAATACATAAGTATTGGAAGTGATATGTGTCCAATTGTCATAAAAAAGAGATAATCTGCCAGCATGTACCTGAGTTATTGTTGTGATGTCCTCGGGCGCATCTGGTGTGCAGGACGTGGACCCCTTGGGAGAGGTGGAGCTGGTGGTGGTATCATCGAGGTTTGCGCGTACTGTCGTCGAGCATTGGGCGTGGGCTTCCTGTATCCTCCTCGTCCTCTGGTTGATGGGTAACGAGGAGGGGCCTGCCAGTTTTCCGAATATGGACGTGATGTTGAAGGCTGTGTTTGTCTTTGGTTTTGATTAGGTCTTTTCATTTGGTTGCCTTGTCTTTCGAGGGTTTTTGCCACCTTATTTTTTCCGACAGGTTGGCCCCGAAGAGCAATTCGTCTCGTTCTGTGTTATTTATAACACTTAGTGTGGTTTTATCTAGGCCTGTGCAGACAACTCTAGTTCTGATTTTCGTGAACAATGCGTGCATATCACACAGCATTCGACAACTGTTACTTAGATGTTTTATAGCTGAGGCTTTGTCGTCGCTTGTCATTAATTTTTCCATGGCCCTATTTATGGCTGTTATAGCAGAGCCTATTTGCTGTTGATTTGTGGCCCATCGTTTATCTTTTGTTTTCCTTGCGTCAGTCACAGCCGCCATGATCTCGGGGTTCATTTTCGGGGCTTGAAGCAGTCTACAGTTATTGGGAGTAGTGTATTCTTTGTAAATCCTGTCTTTTGATTCTTTGTCCAGGCCTTTTTTAAGTAGAGGCTGCCATAATTTGGCCAGCCGTTCGTGTATGTCGCTCCCGTATTCGGGAGTGTCATCAGTCGGGTCTCCCAATGCTGCTAGCAGCTCTGGATCCAAGTCTGGTGGCGTTGTTGTCTCCGAAGTGACATTTTCAACAAGACTCGTTAGTTCTTGTGTAGGCTCTGAAGTAGTTTGTACTTCCAGGTTTGGTTCTGGCAGGATCTCAAAGGTTTCCTCGTAGGGGATTTCAACCGTGTTATCGGCTTGAGGAAGTGAATTCTCCTCGGGAACTAAAAGTAGAAATAAGCTATGTAAGTACTTAATTAAAATTCTTACAATTTTAATTATTTTAACTATGTTGAAGGTGGAAAGAATTACTTTATTTAGATCATGAAAATATTGCTAAATATTGATTCTGTTGTCTGTATTTTAAATATCTAATAAGTATTTTAGTGGGTAGGTATATAAATTTTATTAAAAGGTAAGTCAAGGATTTGACTCTCGGTCAATTTGGAAAAAATTGACTCTTGGGTCTGCTAAAATGCATAATTTACTTATTTAGGCAACTCTCGGTCGATCTCGAAAGATACTTGGCTCTGGGTTGAGTAAGTAAATGCTGTTGTAAACAACAGCGACTCTCGGTCAATCTCATTTGAGAATTAACTCTGGGTCTACACGCTCTACGCCTACATGTGAGGCGTTTTGGTAGGAGAAAACACTGGTTTAGTACACATACCTGATAGAAAACTGTCGTCATCGGTTTCACATACACTTGGCGTAATTTCTTTTCTCCTTATTTTTGCAATTTTCTTTTCGTAATGCTTGATTAGTTCTTCAGCACTACGTTTTGGCATTTTGATTTTCAAAAACTTTTGTAAAATCACTTATTTCACTTATGCAAATATATTTTGAGACGTGCGTTCGTCGCCGCGCGCAAAAAGGAATGAGCTGTAGTACCGATTACGACTGTTACGGCGGTAGGGTTATTGGAGGGGGAAGAAATAAAGTAGTCAAATAAGATACTTTTTTATATTAAAATACAAACCATACGTGTTTTGTTTTTAATTAGACTGAATAAAAGTCTCTAAAAATTTTGCGAAGTCGCCTAGTAGCTTAAAGGGACTACCTGGTAAATAATATCTTCGAATGAAGCTATAAAATATAATCATGAATAATGTTAACTACTTATTTACCTCTCAGTGTCTTGAGGCAACTTAAAAAAGTACATTCTGTGTTTTTATTATTATTTAAGCAGTTAAATACTGCACAGTATTTAGTACACCATTTTCTTTATTTTCTTCCATCATACACAAGAATACGCGAGCGTGCGTGAGTCAATGTTCGCTCGTATGTGAGGCCTTGTCGAATAGTATCCTGTAGGTGGGCCATCGTGCGTGTTTTGTTTTCGATATAAACTCCCGGAGATGAACAGACCTGTGGGTCTAGACAAAGTGCAAATTATAATCGCAAACCAGTCGAAAAGCCTCTTTTTTGTATGGAGTTTTGACGGATTCGATTTTCGATTCGATCAAAAAGTGCGTTTTGTCTAGGGGGGCTGGTGGTAGTTAGTTAGGTTCTTTGACAGATTTTTGACGTTTGTCAAAGTTAAAGTATTAAGATGGTGCAACCCAGCCTTAGATAGTTAAACACTTGTGTGTGCATTAACAATCTTGCAACTAAGTTTATACGTATCTGCCTAAGTAAGTACCTAAGGCTTTTTATCAGATGTACGAGTAATCGCATTAAGATAATTTGTCTGCAGTCATGCACATATGTAGCGGTGCAGTATTTTCTAGAATGCGAGATATTTTGATATGAGTAGGTACTTAAATATCTAACATAAATGTATGTTGAGCATTAAAACGCAGTATTCAGAACTACAAAATCGTTTTTTGAAACTTTAAGTGATAAAATCTTTGATTAATTAAACGCTTGTTTGGGACCGTGTTCGCGCGCGTTGACTCTCAACTATGATCATAATCAAATACAAAATACAAATACAAAAATCTTTATTGTGAATCATCTAATAGGTGAAATGGTGATATGTTACAGTAGGTAGTATCACTATGATCCGTCAGACAATAATAAAAATTGGCAGTTACATAAACTAATTAGATTTCATCATTATCATCATCATCTCAGCCATAGGACGTCCACAGCTCAACATAGGCAATCCTCCCAATGCTTTCCATGTTGCCCAGTTGGTAGCAGCCTGCGTCCAGCGCTTTCCTGCTACCTTTATGATTATGATGATGCTAATTAGATTTATCGTCAAAGAATTCAGATAAAATCCAAGCGAGGCAGCGAACAGTAGCCAATTTAGTAACTTGTTTATGAGCACTTTCACTGTAAAAATGCCATTAATGTGATGCGTATTTTTCAGCCACCGTCGCTACGGTCGCGGCTCAAAAACGCTACCGTAACGACTACGTCTACGACGCCCACACAGATGCTTTCTACAAGTTCCACATCAATATGGCCATGCATTGGAGAGCATTAACCATCTGCAAACTGGAGGGTGCCACCCTCATGGTACCAACTTCTGTGCAGCAGATCGCGCAGGTAAAAAAAACTGAAGGACATTTGAGAGCTGTACCAAGGTTTTGTTGGCCTAATTACTTAGGTAAGTGTTTGTGAGCATGGCACAATCAAACCTTTAATTTCAGTTAGGTAAGTATTCGTATAGTGGTTCACGAGAAGAATCCTCCCTCCACGAAAAGAAGAATCCTACCTCCATGAGAAGTGTGAACAACAAAAATACATTTTTAAATCAAATTATTGCCCACAACTTGTGCTGTTGCTAACAACACAGATGAATGAATTCAGTCAACTCTACTATGCGTTAGACTTAAAATACGAGGACTAAATGCTTGTTGCTTCGTACTAACGATCTTCAGGCATAAATCTTTGTAGGTACCTACCTATCTAGATATGGAAGACACATACTGACCTTCGACATGGGTAATCAAACTGTAAGTACCTACTTTTGTGTTGCACAATTAGATCACGAAACTGGAATAGAATATACCGATAAGCTACTTATTGTGCAACGCTAGCATTTTATTATGGTTCGTGTGTAACGTTACTAACTTAAATTAGTAAGAAGACCAACTCTTCACTTGAGCTAAATACTTTAGCGGGATTGATAACTTATTTTATTTCAATGACTCTTACTACTACGTCCCCTTATGGCTAGCAGACTGCGAACTAACCTAGCTCACTGTGACATTAGATTGTAACTCGCCTATAAACCTATCTGATTAAACCGTCTCGACCAGAGGGGAGCTCAATCCTCGTCACGCGTTGATTCCCGCTGAAAACCAGCTTCTTCGTGACGTTTTTGTCTTGTCGCGATTTTTTGCTGAGCGGGCGCCTGTTCAACATATTTTGATTTTAAGTTAATCATGTCTACACTTGCTTTATCTACCACATTGTGCGGAATAGAGGCTGTCTTATTCTTATTACAGTTACTACCCATAACACTAGGTACGTATCAGTTTTCAAACCTTACTCGTATGTCGTATATTGCTAATGCTCTATGAACATACATGTTACAGGTCCATGGGATGTTCAAACAGTACCCCGACATGGGAGACTATGTTTGGATCGGGGATGACAACGCAGACCATGAATCAGCTGAGGAAACCCCGATTATCGATTGTAAGATATTATTAAATCTATTTCAAAATAGAAAATGTAGGTAAACAGCCATTTTTTTTAAATCATAAATAACTTGAAAAAATGCGACTCTTAACGCTAAAAATTAAATAACTATGTGGACAGCCATGTTTGTTATAACGGTACTATTCCCGCCTCTCGTTCCCACCACTGCAACTCCTGTGTAGCCAGGATCTACAGCTCGACCGCCACAAAAATCCAACCAATGAAGGTCAAGTCCATGTTTGTTATGGTTCAAATACATAACTCACCGCATAGGGAGCATCCGGGAGCATTCACTTGTAATCTACATATTATCTATAAAAGCGAAAGGTGACCGACTGACTCACTCACTCATCACGAAATCTCAGAAACTACAAGTGTTATGAGTCTCAAATTGTGCATGGTGGTTCCTTTTAGAACGAAGGTGGTCACTAAGACGGAATTTTGCAAAATTTAATCCCTATGGGGGTTTTACCACGTGTAAGAAGTCGCGGGCGGCCGCTAGATTATTTATACAGGATGTCTCAAAAAGTAGTGTCAAACCGAAGCCCAGAGGTAAAGCATCACTAGGGCTATCCGAATCACCCCTATGTATGTTCCGCGATTTTTAATAGTTTTCGAGTTATGATTGTTTTAAATTTCTGTGCTTAGGTACTTTTTTTGGTCACTGTGACGCGACGCGAATAGGTAAGATATATGCCTGATTTTTTATTATTATTAGATGAATACTAGGCCTGATTCATAAGTATTTACATCCATAACACGTGTAAGTCGAAAAATTCCATATGTTGTATAAAAAACATAACTCGGAAACTATCAAGAATCGCAGTGATTCCGGTAGCCCTATAATAGTGATGATTTACCTCTGGGCTTCGCTTCGCTTGACGCTACTTTTTGGGGCATCCTGTATAAGTGACTTTGAGCATTATTACACCACATTCTCAGTCGGTACACTCTTGTCAGAGTGGTGGTGGTCATCATCTTGAATCACGATTCAGAGTGATGTTCCTCGTAATACCACCACGACCACGACCACTCCGACAAGATTGTACCGACTGAGAAGAAGAAGAACACCACATTACTACACTATTCTATTCGGTTTTTCCCCTCGACTTGTTCCCATGGCAATCTAAAGCCTAAAATAGAATCCCGTCCAATGACCCCAAGCTACCCATCCTTATCGCTCGCGCGTAATTATATTGCTGTCGCGACTGTACGATGCGCGACCGCAGTGAGTGTGCAAGTGCGTCAGCAACATAAACGTGCGAGCGACAAGGATGGGCAGCTTGGGGTCATTGGACGGGATTCTACGTGCTCATGGACCAGGCTTTAGTAGTTTTTCAAGATCCAGTAATGCAGGACCAGATGACGCTAGCTTGCCACCATCTTGTAGGTAAAAGACCGTGTTTGATTTCCGTTTCCGACACAAGTATCTATGTCGTCGTTTCAGCCAATTGTTGTCCACTGCTGGACAAAAGCCTAACCCCCTTACCAATAAAAAGTTACACAGTTGTTGAACACTGTTTTAAAATGACATTTCTCTACTAAACGTCACTTTAATGCACTGTTCAACGTGCGTGTAAGTTTTATTAGTAAGGGGGTAAATAAGTATATATGTATTAAATCTAATTCACAAAATATTCCAGTGCAGCCAGAGGTGGAAACGGAGGCTCCGTGGGAAAAGCGATGCGTGCTTCTCACGAGAAGAGGAGAGATACAGACACGAAACTGTAGATATTATCAGCCCTTCGTCTGCATGGTGGAGGCAAAGAATGCGCCTTACGACCAAAGATGCGACGTCTACGCCGCAGGTAAACTATAAAAGATAGGTAAGTTCGTTCGTTTCAGCCGAAAGACGTCCACTGCTGGACAAAGGCCTCCCCCAAGGATTTCCACAAAGACCGGTCCTGCGCCGCTCGCATCCAGGCGCCTCCCGCGACCTTCACCAGATCGTCGGTCCTACTGTCAGCAGGTAAGAACAGTCATTTAAAATTTTACTAATATTATAAATGCGAAAGTTTGTATGGATATCTGGATGTTTGTTACTCTTTCACGTAAAACTACTAATCGGATTTTGATGACACTTTACAGTATTATTGTTTACAACCTGGCTATAATTTATGACGATATGTGACAAACTAAATTTCATGCGGGTGAAGCCGCGGGCAAGTCTGTGTATTATCATAAAGGAGAACTTTACACCGCTAGCGAGTGCATCTTAAAACTAGGAATCACTGTGTAAAACGACGTCTATCGCATCGTGTTTAATATACCTACTTATCTGTGCATATACGGTCAATAATATAATACACAATAACATTATAGATAGTATATTTATCTTAGGCACAAAGGCCAAAGCAAAGATAAAAACCCATCATACCTTTAAGTACTTTGTCAAGAGTTGCAACGGTCCTTAATCTTCACCAGATTTAAAACTGATGTAGGTAGGTACCTAATCATTCTAAATTACTTGACTCATTTAACTTTAGTATATTTTACCACCAATATGTATGCCTATATTTTTAAATTCCAGGATATGAATACAACACAGACGTGAAAAGTTGCTACAAAATTCCACGCGACATCAAGACTTGGAATGCAGCCTATGCAGAGTGTCAGGCGCATGGTGCTCACCTCGTGGTCGTGAATTCAGTAACCGAGAGGGACGTGATGCAAGCCTTGATGAGCCGCACTCCATACCTCCGCACTTCCTTCTCGCCATACTACTATATCGCGGGTATCAGAGCAACTAGTATAATTGGCTCGGAAGTAGTATATCGGACTATTTTCAGTGAGTATTTTTGATATTTCAATCCATAGTTTTGTAATGTTGTCTGTCTGTCTGTCTGTTATACGCTTTCCCGCTTAAACCTCGCAACCGATTTTGATGAAATTTGGCATAGAGATAGTTTGAGTCCCGGGAAAGAACATAGGATAGTTTTTATCCCGGTTTTTGAAACAGGGACGCGCGCGATAAAGTTTTTCTGTGACAGACAAAATTCCACGCGGGCGAAGCCGCGGGCGGAAAGCTAGTTAATTTATTATTTGATTAAGGTGTAAAGTTTAAGGCGTGTAGATTTGGGGCGTATAGTAGAAGTTTGTGCCCGCCAATTCTACTGAATCTTCGACGAACCTATACCACTTAGAACACCCGCCCAATTAGCACCTGCACGAATAGCACCTGGCCTATTCCACTCAGAGCACCTATTGATATAATTTTTTTGTTTTTTTTTTATGTGATAGGAGGCAAACGAGCAGACGGATCACCTGATGGTAACTGATTAATTGGGCGGTGCTCTAAGTGGAATAGGTCAATCTTTTCCAGCACTTGGCAACTGATTTTAAAAACATTTTATATCAATGAGATCCCAGATGATTTGAATTAAGTACAGTCAATATTAGCATATCAAACTAAGTATTTTTGTTGCAAAATCACACATAATTACAACTGCTTATGATACCACAAAGTTTAGCTTGAGTGCGTTCGTACAACCCGTGGTATAACCCGATCGAGTTGTAGACCCAATACACTGAACTGTCCCGTGACATTGACAGAGGGGCGCCACCGTCAATACCGGATCGCTGGTTCCGATTTTGCCATGTTGGGAACTACAATATAGTTTTTTTTTTCATCCATTTGTCAAGTTATTTAGCGCCTCTCTGTCAATGAGTTTAGTGGGACAGTTCAGTGTCTACATCTGTCATCTACTAGGCACCTGGCAGTCGATGTTACAACGACGCTCTGGTACGGGCGGGGAAAACGCGGGGAGGTATGCGGATGAATCTCGCACTAACGCGCGGGGTTTGCAGTTAACTCGATCGGTTTCATAGAAAATCCGATTTCAGACGAAACCTTAGAAGAGGCCGGCTTCAGCGAGTGGGCGGACAACGAGCCCAACAACCAACAGGGCATCGAGTACTGCGGCTCGCTGCACCAGCGCTCCGGCAAATACAATGACATATCCTGCCTCTCCAGCTTCGGGTACATATGCGAGAAAGAGAGAAACGAGTGACAAACCAAACCAATCATTTAATAAAGTTATGAAATCGCTAAGTATTTTCCTTTAGCCTCTCGTGTCCAAAAGGTAACATGAAAATTGCGTCTTGAATCAAGACAAATATAGGTACTGTCATGGACCTATAAAAAAAGGCGGACGGAACTCGCGCTACAACAAAACTGTGACGCAAAATTTTGGCGTTTGTCTATTGTGTGAGTGAATTTAGGGATGCCATGTTAGCCAAAACATTTTACCCATTTATTTTAAGAAAAACATAGATCGGCAGATGTTACTTGGAAATGTAGACAGAATTATTCCGTGCCATTTTAAAAGGATGAAAGGTAAAAAATTTTAAAGGAATGCGTTGAGGTAGGCGCGAAATTTTCAATGTTCATATTTTCTTACATTGTTTGCAAGTCAGTGTGTCAGGGTATGTACATAATGTTGATCAAAAATGATCTTGTGTACATTATAATCATAATGTTATGCATCATCAATATATTATTATTATCTCTGATAGATTTTTTTTAACATACAACCTGACACTGACTTGCAATCAATGTAAGAAAATTTGAATTTCGCAGTTCCACATTTTTGGGAAGGATCAAATTTGCCTATGAAAATATATCCCATTAAAACACAATTATTATGATAAATTATTTTATTTCCATAGTATGCGTAATAAATAACTAAAAAGTCCTAAAATTATTATTAATTTCCCATATTTCGGGTAATTTTCCCACGTAAATAACTGAGAACACTGGTCTTTGACGTATTATTTTTTCGAGTGAATGACGTTTGATTTCAATTAATTTCAATATTTTAATGTCGGGAAATAAGTGATTGGATTATTATTTTGCCTGTGAAATGTGATTCCTTAATTTTTGTTTGTTCGAACAGAACCGTTTTTACACAATTTCATCACACAAGACATGTCGTATTCGTGTTGTTTTTTCGCTGCTTAAATGTGTCAACTGTGTGAAGTTAGCACTCGAAGTGGTGTATCAGGGTGTGAATGTGTGCGTGCCGGCCTGTACGTACGGGCAAGCTGGTGTATCCTAATGTCACAGTATTTTGTTGATGAGAATCCGTCCGACTTTTTTTATAGGTCCATGGGTACTGTTTATAAAAGCTAAATAAAAAAAGGAATTCTCGAATCGGTTGCATAGATAAACGATTTGTAATATGAACTTATTGGGTCTTATTTATCTACCTCGTAGAAGTAAGGCCGCTTTCACATTAGGGCGTGAGAAGCGCGACAGCAGCGGTGTTTTAATAATTTGAAGGCGGGCATCCGCTTTCTTAGTATGAAATTATCGGCAGCGTGTCTGTCACGCGTTTGTCGCGCTGCTAAAGTCGCCTAAATGTGAAAGCGCTCTAAGTAATCTGTGACCTCACAGAAAAAAAATACTGAAAGAGTGTATTCGACAGATTTTTCAAAATACACTTTATAAGCAAGGGATCGGTAAATGAAAGTCGTTTGGTAATTATGCAGTAGTTTATTGTTACAATGTCGCGGTACACAGCGGCTACGCCGTTCTCGCGTCCTACGCGCGCGCGCCACACGGACAAACTCGACTATCGACTCTTGTCATATATTTTATTCGTCTGTCATTTGTCTGAACGTCACCACGGCTTATTCCACTATTCCTCGTTGACAATAATTGGAGCTTATAATGGGGAATAAAGGACTAAATAGTTCATTAATCCCCGTTATATTAGGATTTTATTTTAAACGTAATGGGGATTAATCAACTTTTAGTTCATTATTCCCCATTATAAGTTCTAATTTAACGTTAACGGGGAATAGTGAACAAAAAGTTCACTTATCCCCGTTGACGGGGATTGTCAACGGGGAATACACCACGTCTCTACCTTAAGGTGGCGGTTCGCACCGCGACAGAGACAGGAGACCGAGACGGGAGACTGCGACCGTTATTTGACTGGGCAGAGACCTGTCTGTCTCTGTCTCGCTTGCGAACTGTCGCTTAAACATTGTCTAAAGTCAAGTATCGTTCGCGGTCTCCCGTCTCGGTCTCGCGTCTCGGTCTCCTGTCTCTGTCGCGATGCAAACCGCCACCTTTAGGCTTCAACCACACCAGTTCGCGCGACCTGTCATTGGCCTATGATCACGCCGCCGATGGCGATCGGCACGCGTTGATGTGGTCGAAGCTTTATTCAATCGAAAAACTTTGAAAAACTATACTCAGCACACGATTGAAACGTGAAATAATTTCACTGATTGCGGTCGATTTCTAAAGCAAGTCAATCACTGATCTGAAACTGTATGTAGTTTGAGACAAATGCAGAGTATAGTTTCTGAATGCATGAGAATCTGTGATGGTGTTGTTCATTAAATATGTTTATAGATAAAGTAATAACATTCAAATCGAGTCAAATCTTTCTTATTTAAGGAATTACATGCAGTAGTGACGGGGATTATGGTACTTTGTTACATAAAATTTGGTGCTTTTAGTTGCAATTATGTACACTACGGGAAGACACAATGAATAGCTATGAAAAACTTTTGCAGAATCCTATTGATAACTTATTCTATAGCCAACATCAGGACTGCATGTAAAATCATAGCATTTTACGTTACTAGTCTATCTGTGTCCGTGTGGCCACAACGCACATAACGCTACAAAAAACTATTACAATAGTTTTGGCAGTTCGCAACAATGGTAAAATGCAACTAACTTCGTACACGACAGAAACACGTATCATTTATATTTACATTCAATTATGTTTCCGATTCGTCGCAGTTGTCCCCGAAACTAAATCACAAAATTATATGTGACGAAATTAAACTAAACCCATACATAAAATGTTTACGTCGGCGAGGCGCGCCCACCGACTGTCTTGGGCCATTGCATAATGAGAATCGATACAGCCATTTCATATTAAATCTAAGTTAAAAGTAACTTAAAACGACTATCAGTGCACAAAATGTCTACTATATACAATACAAATGGTAATAAGTGTTAAAATAAAATCATCGCCGTAGTAATACATGAATTACGATTACTTTATCATTTTTTGTATTTTTTTTTACTTTTTTGTTATTATCGTGTAAATAATAATTACGAAATTAAACAGGGGAGTGATTATTGAACACGAACTAAGAGCAGACGCTAACTTTTACGTAAACTAAAACTTACTCTACGCTATTTACATATTGAGAAATTAAGAACGAATACAATCACAGGCTCTGTGCGAGCATCGTGTGCGAGAACTTAGACCGAAAGAAGCGATGTCTACTCCGAAAACGATAACAATATGACAGCTGTCATTAAGTATTTTCATCGTATCGACTGTTGTTTAAAGGAAGGAGTTTAAGTTAATTAATAAAATAATAATAATAACCTTTTTAATAAGTACCTGAATGGTCTTATATCTCGATAAAAACTTCGAGAATGTCGAGTAATTCCATCCATATTTTTAGGGTTCCGTAGTCCTGACAAGGAACCCTCATTCGTATGTCAAATCGTTTATCGGAGCAGACTGGCTGACTGGCCGTTGAAAACGTGGCGTGAGCTAACAACTAAACTTCACTCGTGTAAATGAACAGTCGTGTACTTAAAACTTAAAATATACGAGATCTCTGAAAGTCTGGAAACGCAATACGTACAATTAAAGTAAGAAGCGTCGCGGGCGCGGGCGCGGCACGTGACCGTCTACGAGTAGTACAGGTGACAGCATATCAAGTTAAATATTATTGCATCATAAATGACTGTATTAAGAACCATTATGCAATAAAATTGTATCACCTGATGTGCTGTCGACTGTACATTAAACTTCACTAAGCACTTGTACTTCGTTACATTTCAATTCAATAACTAACGATAATAATAATACCATTGAATAACTTTCTTCCTATTTTTATTGTATTCAAAACTTGAATTAATTTATGAGGTACAAAAAGGCATCAATATCCTTCGTGTTATATTTATACAGTTTCTTGTCCGGCCACGCCCCTAATTATCGAATTACTTCGTCTATTCTATTTACACTTTTAAACACCCATTAAGAAATTTCGCGGAGGACGTGTGGTGTTAACAGCAAGCGATATCAAAGCTATTAAAATAACGTATGTATACCTAACTCAGCTATATTTACAGGCCGTATGGGGCCAGGCGGCTCCGGAAAAACGGACTTAAAAGGGTAGCCAATATAGCGTATAGCACACTAACACAGCTAGCTATATTTTATTACCGAATATCGCACGCTATATTGGCTCTCACTTGACGCTAAGGATATAGCAACGCTATTTATCCCGTCGAGAGATAGCGGTATATGATTATTTGCATCATCTATTAGGGCAACATGCCTCTAAGGAGTCTTACTAAAGACTCACTAAGTAATTCGTCTCTACGCTGTATATACAAACATATTTATTAAATAGTTCCTTTTCCCGGAGCCGTCTCGGGGCCAAGTATTTATCTGTTGTGTGTACCAGAGTCCAATAATTACGCCTAGCGGATCACAGTAACAGTTTTCTGAGATAAGGCAAGGTGGGGTCTGTCGCGGACTGGCGAGCGATTCGTACAGAGACGATATAGCTGGCTGATTCGAGTTTGCAAGAGGTTATTAAAATAAAAAAGATTTCAAAAAATTGATCGGTTTTGTGACTTTGTCTCTTTTACAACTATCCATTAAGGGCTAGTGTGACAAGGACAACGCTCTATAAAATTAAAGCTTAATGTCTGTTAGACTGTTACAAAGGTTTTAAATAGCCGATAGAATTGACGATATCAGGCTTAACACTGTAGCATCTTATTTTAGATATTCTGCAACAAACATTTTTAGTTTCATGTACAGCAGACTATATTTTATTGCAAAATCGACTCTATTACAACTGCATTACAAGCCACAGTGTTTAGTGCGTGCCGTCGTCTGTAAGTTAAAAAAATGTTGAAATGCCAGCTATACCATCCCTGTATAATAAACTAAGGCGACTGCATTCGCTACGATTTCGCAGCCAATGCATGCACCTGAGTTGAACGCACGGTTGAGTCTCGCCTCCTTTGTACCATCGAACCCTTCTGTCAATGTTGTCACATGACTAACGATAAAATTAATTTAATTTCATATTAAACAAGGTTAGTACTACTTATTGGAAAAATAGCAAAGCTCTTGAGTTTAATGCCCGTTTTCACCGTCAATCTCTAATTTTTATGAGACCCCTATGGTAACACCAGGAATTTTGTTTTCATAGGGGTCACTTAAAAATTAGTAATTGATGCTGAAAACGGGCATAAGAACCATGTCCCGTGGGTTTAAAATGGCGGTTTTTAGCCCCACTGTTTACTGACACAAAATATGTCAGCCATATTTTAATCAAATGTCATGAAATATTAAAACTGACAATAAAGCTGTATGATTTTGTATTCTATTCGTAAAAAGTTAAAGGTTATTTTTGTGAATCATGCAACAGCACCAACAGAAGTTCATCCTACTTGTGTGGGCGACTACAAGGGGACCATTCCGTATCGTACTAGAGCCTAACATTAATACTATGCATTTATTTATTTACAAATTTAAATTTTTTATTCATTTATATAGTTTTGAACTAGTTTTAAGGCTACGACGTCTCTTGACACTCACACATAGTCTTCCTATTCTAGACAGATATATGTTAGTAGCGTGATACAGGTCCTTCCTACCTAAACACAAATAGAAACATCAATTTTGGAACATATGATAATATTAAGTTTTTTTTTAATTACTTGCCAATAAAAAGAGTTACTTATCCATCACTCACGCACACTAACACACCCCAATAATCTTACGACAAACCACTAAAATATAACTATTAAATGCTTGAAATACGCATGTAATCCTTTACATTTACAACACTTTGCTATACAATGTCTCACTACTGCAATGATAGTATGTGAAAAATTATTCGTACATGTTTTTTATTCATTTATAATCATTGCCAAGTAAATCAGTATTTTTTTTTTGTTAATACTAAGTCTATCTAACCTAACTACGTAAAAATGTTCAGTCGATGTTACATACAATGGTGTTTAGAAGTAAGCTTAATATAAAAGTATGTTACACGATAGTTAAGGCGCGTACACACGGACGCGAGAGATTCGCGAGTTGGCGCGCAACCGTGATCATTAAGTACGAGCGCGCGTGTGTACACTCCCTTACACGGCGACACAAGAGAACACATAAAATCATCGATAATCCAAGTCCATCAAGTAAAATAGAAATCGTTAAAACGCATTAATAATATTGCAACTCTTATTGCTTGCAACGTCTTTACGAAACACAATCAATCAGGCACACATTGAAAATCTACTACATCACATACATTATAATTACATGGAATCGCAAAGATAAATGAAAATAACCTAATGCCTATGCGTACTTTGTTACTTTACAATCGCATCGCAACGCGGCGAGCGCTTGACGTCTCTTTCCCGTTCGGGCGAGTCGTATGTTGCCGTCTCTTTCTTTATTCATAAATACTCGTCATAGCGAGTGTTTCGTTGTATAAAATATGAATGTTGCATTTCGCAACTTTTTGTAGTTTCATTTATTCGCAAATGTCCGAACCAACCTAAACTAACCTACCGACATAGTCGCTACAGATTACACTATAAGTAAATATCAAAATGAATAGTAATGTAATATATTTGGTTGAGTGTCGCTGCAGGCGCGTTGCTACGGGCCCGCACACGTTGTTTGTCTTTTAGAATCACAAACATAAAATTAGCCTAACATCAAATCTCCCGAGGGTTCCGTGGACTTGAAATGCCGTATTTTTATTAAGTTTCACGGCCAAGTAAAGTGAATATGATATGTTCCCACTGGGCTAATAATTTAGAGTAGACAAACCTAAAGACTTGAATTAGAATTAAAAGTAAAATAACCTAAATTGTCAACTCAGTGAGAAGATAACGAAAAGTAAATGCACACATTTATCAGATTCTAAAACACCCGTCTGGCAAGACAGTATCGTGATTGGAATAAAATAGCAATTCAATTCAATTTCTACACTATCGCAATATTGAGGTACGGTGCGGTATTTTAGTTTTATATCAAAATTGTATACAGGCCAACATGAGATCTTAATTTGACTTAATTAAGCTTTTAATTGTGATTATATTATGTCGATTGAACACTCATATCTATCTAGCAAACATATCGTGTAACCCTTTGATCATACTAACGTTGAGGGAATCTATGTAATTATAAAGATTAAAAACTTGTAAAGAATGATTCAATCTGCATAAATCGCAATTTCCACGCTTACTAATAAGCTTAACATTCTCACATTCTTGCCAATAGCTATTACAACTAACCACGACACATCAGTTTAATTAATAACTTCAATTTCTACCGTTTCCTTTACTTGCCGATGGGTTTCAACACGCAGATCGAACTTATATTGATGAATCGTATCAATAACGACAATTTTTTTATAATTTTAACATTTATCACGACATTTACTGCATAATTACTATAAAGGATGAGACACTTGTTTGTCGGTTTACTACGATTCATCAAACTATTCGATGCGATGACAATTCAGATTTCCATACAGCTCACTTTTATTAACACGCATACCTTTGCTCGGGTACTAATCATAGGTACATTCCTACCAACATTATCACTAAACGAAACATTCAACCTCAACAGTTTGAGAATTCTACATTCTTGTCAATTTGCTAAGAAACAGTTTGGGAACCATCAAAATCACCAGGGACACACATACACAAAAGTCTTTAAACAAGCTAAAGTTCATTACGACTGCGTCAAAGTGAAAACGTTGCTGGCAGCGTTTCCGCGTTGTATTATTGCGCTAAGAATATTCTATTGTGGATTTAGGCGCGGCGGTGGCGGGTCGCGGCGGCCGGGCGGTTACCTCGCGGCGGAGTAGGCGCTGCGTCGCTTGTCGGGCGGGCGCCGGCGCTCGCGTCATTCCCACTGGTGCGGCGACGGCGGCAGCTCCGACGGGTGCGCCACGGTCGAGCTGCAAGCGCAATGACGTCAGCACCTGAGCTGCTCCTCCCCACCCCACTCCACACCCGATACCCACGCCGCTTGAGCTTGGCGGATTCGACGGACTATTGCGGCGGCTTTGGTTATTATGTTAACTAAAGAAAATGATAGAGGAAAATACAAAGCTCAGTCATATTTCCGTTGTTGAGTTGTTATCGGAAATAATATTGGATTTCGCTCGTGCTTAAGCAAATAGGTGTCTAGCGTCGTACTATATTCTCCATATTTATCTATGTTAACGTCTTGCATCCAGCGCTTTTGAATGACTAAAGTCAATGACCAATAGAAGTCTTGAAAATCACATTTTGGCGATTTCTATAGATCATGGAATTCTAGCTTCTCTCGTCGGTGCTGGCTATAAAACGTTGACATACATCTATTAGACGTGCTATAGAACAATGAGCAATACTCGACACGCACGGGAATGACTATTTATTTACTACACACTACACTTTTTTATTCAACTAAAGGCAGTTGTTGTTAGCAATCTCATCGGATGTTTAGTATACTTTGAAGCTTTTTTTTCTCCCATCATTTTCTTCCCACGTTTATGGCTTGGTTACTTTAATTTTACCTGAATTAGGTATATGAATATTGAAAATAGCTTTCTAAATGATGCTATAAAAGTTTACTCAAGCATTTCCAAAGTTTCAAAGTCCCAACGCCAATCGAATCCATCAAACAAGTTGAACATGCAAATTTTACCCAAATCTTTAATTGAAAAACTTTAAAATTTTAAGATCTTTAAAACTGTATTATACGATAGTATAAAAGAGAAATTGAATAGCAAAACTGCATCACAAATCAAACTACTTTAGCTACTAAACATTACAAAACAAAAGTCACCACAACCAAGTGCACGGCACTGTGCTCGCTCTCGACTCTACGCATGCACTACGGACCATACCAGTAACAATTTTAACATATTTCTAAGTAGAAAACGTTAAAATTGTCTATCCTCCCCGAGAATTTAACTGTCTCATAGCAAAAATCGATCTAATAACAAACTATTCATCAAGGGGAGAGCTCTTAATAATGTCTGCCAACTATGTTGAATATTTTTTCAGAATTGTATGATAATATGAATGAATTCATGGCAAATATTATCAAGAGACTTGATTGTCATGCACTGCAACCGAACCGGAAGATAGAGACGGAGCGAACAATCTAACGATCAACCCTTTTGAAATTACGAATCGACGGCCGTGCGCGGAGACAATACCAAAGGAGTTCAATAAAATAAAATAACTTGAAAATAACATTATTATGAGCAGCTTTCTCATACTTAGTTTTTGTAATCAACTTATACTGCCAGACACAAAAACTGCGTCATAAAGTTTACATTAACTTTTTTTCGTCACATTCCCGGTTAGCACATGGATTTGCTTTTGGGTAAAAGCCTATCCATGACTAAAATCTGCACTAAATTATATTGTGTGTACTTTGATAAGTGAGTGAGAGTGGCTAAGTGAAAATTGTTACACGATTATGGACTCCGGTCTGACATATTTTTTTTTAATTTCAATTCAATTGCAGTTTTAGTGTCCGGCAGTGTATGGCGAAGGGAAGCACTGTCCCCGCACGGCCGCGCGCCGGACAACACATAACAACGTGCGAACGCTTACGGACTGGCTCGCGCTACGCGGCGCACAGAAATATCACGGGCGATAGCAGTAGTATTTTTGCCGCCGTCTTGAAAGGGGAACAAACTTTTGCTTTCGAACCCGTTCTAGAGCTGTCGCAAAACACAGAAAAAAGCAGAACGTTATTACACTACTCCGGTCAGCGTGCTGAAGCGTGGAAGACACCACCATTTCAAGAGGGTTGATGTGGCTTCGGAACGGCGGATCTCGAGGCTAATGTACAGAAGTGTCGCTGGGAAGCGCGGAAAATTATACAAGTAAAATAAAACCCATGCTGGTTGTTCTACGCGGGATCGACATAGGTTCTTTACTTCTGCGACCACCGGAGCTCTAGCGTTATGGATTCGCCCGAAGGCGTGAAGCATTTGGTGAGACACGAAATTCACATAAAGTATGATGCTTCGGTACAACGCTCTCAGAACTCAAACAAAGGCGGTGATGTGTCGGCTCTTCTAAGTTATTGTAACAAAATTAACTTTCCTAACAAATCAGAAATACTCAAACTAAGCGAAATGACAACGCCTAAACTACAACAAGAAGCTGGATTTAATAGATTCTAAATAATAGAAGCCTATGAATTAACGTCACACATCACGCTCTTTCTGATCGAATGTCAGTCGTATTGTATTTTTTCGTATTAGACAAAAATAATTTGATTGAGTTCCTCAAACCAAGGACCGAACATAGACCATGGTATTATTGACATAGTGACACATACGTGCACTAACATAATATTCGCACGGTGCCACACCTAGTTGTGATGTCCGTTTGCTTTCTCTGATTTATTATCTTTAACTCAACGGGCAGACGTGGAGACAACAAATGTTATAAACTCAAACACTGCTACAATGCCTACAATGTTAGTACGGTGCAAGTCACACTTCAATACCAGTTTAAATATCACGCAAAAGGCAACTTGACAGCTGTAGGCCTAAGATGCGCGCCGTGATACTTTTATCGACGTCAAAATGTATGGACAAAATCGATAAAATGGCGTGATAACCGCTTATCGCGGCGCGCATCTTAGGCCTACAGAACTGTCACTGTCATACGCGTGTCATTTAAGCTAGGTTTGCACACACACACGATAAAAACACTACGACTGCGTGATTTTAGATTGGATTAGAAGAAGCGATGTTGTCTACACGTCCCCTGGCGAACGGCGTGGCCCTTACTTGGGTGCGGGTGGTCGCTATAGCTGAGCGTGTTAAGCCGCGTCTACACTCGCCGGCGACCGACGGCCGCGCTCTCGGCGTCTGGTGGTAATGCTAGAACGTTTGACTGTTATTGGCACGGATGTAAAAGATGCTACATAATTAAGTGATTTCGATAAATAACTTTAGAACTAACATTAGTAAAATGTATTGCAAATAATGCTGAAAATTATTTTTATTATTTACTTTTATCGGATTATAAAAGTTGCACTGTTTTAAGAAGACATGTTCAAATAATAGTCTTTAAAATAAGAACCATCGCCAACAGTGATAACTATCCATTGCCTGTCATGTCGATTCGTTCTATCGCAAAGAATCACCATTGGATGAGAGCGAGAGCAAAAACAGAAATGGATAGTTAACAGTGTGGCCGTGTGTACACAATCAACATAGCTTTTTCCTAATTTACGGTACTTTTACACTCATAATACTGTAAATATTTCTATTTAACCAAAATTTTGAGACCAATTTGCATTTACAAGTAAAAACATCATCCGTGTCAATACCAAACAACAGTTCTGTGCCGATCGCCGCACCTTCGGTCGTCGGGCAGTGCAGATGCGGCTTTATTTAACGTATCGCAAAGAAATCACCTAGTGTCGGTTGGTTGCGGTTGGTTGCGTCGTGGCGGCGGCTTACCTTGCGAAGCTCTTGAACGCCGCCGACTGCGGGTTGATGCACAGAGGCACTCGCGACGTCTGCAGTTGCTCGGCTATGAACTTATGGATCTCCTCTGCGGATTAGATAGCGTGTGTTAGGGGCGTAGCGGGACGCCTTTTTGTGATTCTTAGTGGCCAGGGTGTATGGTAGTAACGGCTGACGATAGATGGCGCTGTTCGTTTTTGTATCGCGGTATTGTGTATATTTTTGGTCAAAAACCTACAGTAATCTTATTCATTTATTTGCATTTTAACATATTATATCAATGAGACCTTACAAATAGATTTCTTTTATCTACTACAAGAAAACCATCATAATGAATGACGAAGCCAGTACCGTTAAAAAGTGGAAAAGTTACCACATATTACTATTTCACCGTGATTTTAAAATCAACATAATGCAAAGGATATTATTATCTCGTCAATATAGTTATTTATTATCTATTTATTTATTATGTTTGATAATCAAAAGTCAAGTAAGAATACCCAATCACCGACCATAAGGATTGTTTATTGGCGAATACTAAATGTAGCTCGAAAAAGAAATTAATTTCTATTCCTATGAAATCATAAAAACCGCTGGCCACTATTAGCGTCTTTCAAAGAATATTTTTTCTCTAAAAATGACATCCGCTCATATTGTGTAGTATGTGTATGAGTGGTGTTTTACCTTTGACCTGGTGCACGGAGGTGAGTTTCCGCTCCCATCCGTCGTGGAAGGCGTGCGGCGCCACCGGCTCTAAGTCCGGCGAGTAGTGACGCGCGGCGGGCGGAGCGCTGGAATTTGGTAGGCACTTGTGTTAGATAAAGACAAAGATAAACTTTTTATCACCATTACTTTATGTAGTTGTAAATGGAGCTATTTTGCAAAAAACATTAAACTGTAGTCTGCTGTATTGACAGTTTTTAGCATGATAATAAGAAATTCATTTAATGATCAGGGGGCGTACTGTGTTTACGTCAAACGGATTAGATGTCGATTGCGTAAAAAAGTGACATTAAATCTATGACAGATTGTACAGCGCCCCTAGCGGAAACTTTTAAGAACTAAAATCTTCGTATATTTTTTAACGCAGTCGATATCGAAGGCATTTGACGTAAACTCACATTACTCCCCCTGGTTGTAAGTTGATTATTCGAAAAACTTCTTCGTTGATATTTGCTTCTGAAAAATCTGCTTGTTGTTTCAAATGCTTATGTGATACATGCAAGTGACTACCGTATTAAACCTACTACTTATTATGCAGGAATGTTAGCTCCACCAAATACATATTATGGTCCTTATGGATATCGTGTTAGGGTGCATAATTACCTGTAGCAGCACTTGCACATGCAGGAGTGGTAGCGTAGACGACCCTCCTCCAGGTACGGATGTGCAAGCGCGTCGACTACGGAGATCCGCTTCACCAGATAATGGTCCTTATGGCTATCGTTTTAGGGTGTATAATTACCTGTAGCAGCACTTGCACATACAGGAGTGGTAGCGTAGACGACCCTCCTCCAGGTACGGATGTGCAAGCGCGTCGACTACGGAGATCCGCTTCGCCGGGTCAAACACCAGCATCTGAAATCAGGTTAAGATAATATCAAAATAACTGCAGAAATATCTTGCTAAATATACTAAGTCAAACTTCATTTCCGTGTGCAGTTTTGAATCTGCCATCGAACGCGTCCCCGGATTGGGGATAGGCGGATAGCGAACCCAAGCTCCAAAAGCGCGGCAGATCTGGTCAACTCGGCGGGCCACCCGTAATCCAGAATTGAGTGGTCCGGGGCTGTCGAGGCATTTGTCCGGGCCACAATGCAGAGGACATCTTTAAAAACCCTCACAGTTGGGGTGAGCTGACGTGGCGTTTGCCTAGGCCCATTTTTTGGAGGGACGCTCTCGGTACTTCTCTGATCAGCAGAGCTGACTGACCATAACCCGCTACGGCAGGCCAGGGGTGCTCGACCTAGGTCGCTAACAACACTGGATTGCACTTGTGCCAGCAGATGCACAGCCTCGTGCGTGTAGAGCGCGACGAGCGCAAGTCAGTGACGTCATTAGCCGACAACTCCGGTGTAGCCTGAATTACACCAAAGCGTACCTGCGCCAGCAGATGCACGGCCTCGTGCGTGGCCTGCACGGACAGCGTGTAGAGCGCGGCGAGCGCCGACTGGACATTACGACGTCGTGCCCGAAGTCACTAACAGATACACCAGACCTGACCCCAGTGTACAGCCTCTCTGTACCTGGCTTGTATATGTAACAACACGTACCTGCGCCAGCAGATGCACGACCACGGACAATTGGACATATGACGTCGTGCCCGAAGTCACTAACAGATACACCAGACCTGACCCCAGTGTACACCCTCTCTGTACCTGGCTTGTATATGTAACAACACGTACCTGCGCCAGCAGATGCACGGCCTCGTGCGTGGCCTGCACGGACAGCGTGTAGAGCGCGGTGAGCGCCGACTGGACACTATGACGTCGAAGTCACTCCTGAAGTCCTGACCCTACACTCTCTCTGTACCTGGGTGAGGAGCTACCTGGCTTGTATATGTATCAACACATACCTGCGCCAGCAGATGCACGGCCTCGTGCGTGGCCTGCACGGACAGCGTGTAGAGCGCGGCGAGCGCGGACTGGACATTACGACGTCGTGCCCGAAGTCACCCCTGAAGACCTGACCCCAGTGTACACTTTCTCTGTACCTGACTGAGGAGCTACCTGGCTTGTAAATATATGTAACAACATTTCTCACCAATGTATCCATCCTCTAAGAGCTTCGTGTTAAAGACACACTATCGTCAACTGTGCAACTACGAATACTGAAGTTCTTTGGTCACGTCTCCAGAAAGAGAACTCGATGGAGAGACGCCATCACAAAGGCCACTGAGTCCACCATGGTCTAGTGTACCCGCGACGCCTCTAACCGTCAGAAATGGAAGCACATCGCCAGGAGAGCTACCCTCGGAGATGAAATTACCCCACCATGTACCTCGTCAGCGCAACCACGACCACTCTGACAAGAGTGCCCGACTAAGAAGAAGAAGAAGATATGTAACAACACGTACCGACGCCAGCTGATGCACGGCCTCGTGCGTGGCCTGCACGGACAGCGTGTAGAGCGCGGCGAGCGCGGGCGGGACAATTGGACATATGACGTCGTGCCCGAAGTCACTAACAGATACACCAGACCTGACCCCAGTGTACAGCCTCTCTGTACCTGGTTTTTATTTACATACCTGCGCCAGCAGATGCACGGCTTCGTGCGTGGCCTGCACGGACAGCGTGTAAAGCGTGGCAAGCGCCGACTGGACACTATGACGTCGAAGTCACTCCTGAAGTCCTGACCCTACACTCTCTCTGTACCTGGCTGAGGAGCTACCTGGCTTGTATATGTAACAACACGTACCTGCGCCAGCAGATGCACGGCCTCGTGCGTGGCCTGCACGGACAGCGTGTAGAGAGCGGCAAGCGCGGGCGGGCGCGGCGCGCGCCTCATCATGTGCGCGCGCGCGCCGGCGCACGCGTGCCGCATGTCTTCCAGCGACGGCGTCCCGAGAAGCTCTGTTATTAACTCCAGCTGGAACGCAAAAATTTAAATTATGTTTCGGCCAAACCAACGCGTCTACAACCAATGTGTGTTACCAGTGATGACTTATGATCGGAAACGTGACCTCTCACTATAGGCCTTATACAGAAGCTTAAACTTGCACAGCGTGTTATGGAGAGGGCTTTGCTCGGTGTTTCTTTACGAGATCGAATCAGAAATGAGGAGATCCGTAAACGAACTAAAGTCGCTGACATATCCTGACGGATTAGCAAGATGAAGTGGCCATTGCCACTTCAGCTTTCGTCCGATGGGGCAGCAAGGTTCTAGAATGGAGGACCGGAAAACGCAGCGTGGGACGTCCACCCAAGGTTGACCGACGACATCATAAAGGTAGGAGGTAGGTAGGAAGGTAGCAGGGAAGCGCTGGACGCAGGCCGCTACCAACCGGGCAACATGGAAAGCATTGGGGGAGGCCTATGTTCAGCAGTGGACGTCCTATGGTTGAAATGATGATGATGATGATGAACGCGTCGACGATGACGAACACTGCGCGTGCATAGGATCGCCGCGACCAATGCAGGACGCGTCGATGTGAACTCAACGCTACAAATTCATACACGACATGTGATCGCTACCGCCATTGCCATTTCGCACGCAGGCACGCGTTGTTCTGGCCGAATCTTAAGACACTCTTTATTGTACTAAGCACAAAAGCAAAAATGATTTCTAGCCACAAAACTAAACCCCTTGAATAAGTGAACGATTCCTCTCCTACAAAACTAACGCACAAATCTCATGCATATACGGAAATAACAAAAGAATATCCTGAACTCCTCACCTGCTGCACGGGACTCTGCGCTTGGAAGAGGATGCGCCTTCCCAGCAGCTCGCCGAATATGCAGCCGACGGACCACACGTCCACCGCTGCCGTGTAATGGTTCGCGCCCATCAGGATCTCAGGTGCTCTGTAAAAAAGTAGAAGTAAATTGAACATCCAGATGTTTGGTCATAGGCTTACGTACGAGTAAAATGGAATGCCCAACTGTAGAAAGAATAATTTCAATTTTACCATCGCTATCCTTCAGCATTTCTAATTGATTAGAAGCTATCATTTCATTTAGTACGGGGTATTATTACTGGTATTTTTAATACTTCAGAGCTAGGAAAGTTTCCAATAGGAACTGCAGAAGCCTTCGAGTAATTGCAAAGAATTGAAACTCAATAATTCAGCGTAAGTGGCATGTTAAGACCTAAGACGAGGGCGCTATAAAGCGAGAGCGGCCTAGTTTCGGGCCGCAACCCAAAGGTCACTCGTTTCATTGCTCATTCACCGTGGACCGCGCGTGCCTTGGATGTACGTCTTGCAAAAGTGGCGAACGAATAGAAGACCACAAGCGTAAAATTATATTAACTAGCTTTTACCCGCGGCTTCATTTGCATGAATTCCAGTCTGCTACAGAAAGACTAATGCCGATACTTATGCCCATTTTCACCATCAATCCCTAATTTTAGTAAGTCATAACAGGAAATTTTTTTCATAGGGGTCACTTAAAAATTAGGGATTGATGGTGAAAACGGGCATAAGTATAGTAAGTATAACACGCCTAATATTAAAACCCTGGATAAAAACGATCCTATGTTTTTCTCCTTGACAAATCATAAACTTAAACCTTTCTCGTGAATCTCTCTTCCTATTGGTGAAAGTCACATGAAAATTCCTATAGAAGTTTTTGAATTTATCGCGAACAGACAGGCAGAAGCCGCAGAAGGTACTTTGTTTTAAGCCTGAAGGAATTTTATAGTTATGGAAAGTATGGCATACAATGGGGAAGGCCTAAATCCAGCAGAACCAAGAACGCAATGTAACAACAATTTATTTATTATTGAGTTCACATACCTCAAAGTAACATTAAAAATAAAAACATAACGGAAATAAACTAGTTTTTGTTGGACTATTCACATAATATCTTCTTAGGAAAGGAGTATTATTGCGCACACAACATTAGGAACAAATTCCAAGAAACATTTTGCAATTTATTTTCCTCCATTCAACGTGTAACTCGCGGAAAACGGAAAATTGATTGATGGAAATTGCTTAATAGATTCGCATGTTACGCAATGATAGCAATAAAAATATTCGATACCTACATATTAACCTATAACAAAAATGTTTTAGTTTATGAAAATGAAATAGTAATTTTTAACCCTCTCTGAAATATGTTTGCCTAATCCCCAAATTCTTATTTGCTAGGTCTGAACATTTCTAACCACATAACAATGTAAATATTTCAGTTCCCAAAAAAACAGCAAGGGAAGCAATGCAAAGCACGTACTTTCTCAAATTCCGATACAAATAGACGTAATATATTATTTCGGGACGCGAATGTCGGGGCAGCAGATCCCGGTTATTACGGTGTTCCTACTTCTGGCAGGAATAAGGTCGCGGGGTACCGACAAAAACCTTTTTAATACTTTCCATCTGACGTTTGTACTGGGACCGTGCGTCTAGATATCTGCGAGCCAGTATACAGGGTTAGGTACTTGTAAAACACCAACAATATCTCGAACTTAATCTCAAGAACTAGAAGGTTAACATCAATGCAACATCTGTTGTACGACTTTTGAAAATTAATTAGTATTTTAATTTAATAAACCGCTCTAATGTTCATAAGCCATGGGCATTAAAAAATCATTTAAACAAACGAATGCCGCATCGTCCTTTCGTTTATGAATGAGACAGTCTTCTTCTTGAAAATTCAATTTGTTGAGATATTATGTTAAAAGTCATTGTACTTACTACGTTAACTCGTAGAACAAAAATGTTGTTATATAATTTGATGTTATTTATCTAGCCCTGTGAGGTTACTACATTTTCACAAACAAACCTGTATATGTATATGAAACGCGTACAATTTTGTTTTTCAACATTTCCTCTGATTGCGTTTCACCTCGGGCGCGAGTGCGACACATGATTGATGATCCCAATATAAACTTGAAACTTTTTATATTCGCTGCCTTCGCAACTTTAAACAAATGCGCTCTTGTATTCTTTTGACATCTTCATTCATAACGTTCAGTAGCGTTGATTTTCATGATGTCAGACAACCTCGAATTAATCTTCAAGACGCGTTAAAGGATTGTTTAGTTAATGACTACGCTGATTGACTATAACAGTCTTACATGGCACTTAAATTGATTAAGATGATAAAGTAATAAACGGAATTTGTTATTATTTGACACGCAAATAGGTAGTTCATTTAAAATGCTTTAAATTGTCAGTGTCGATTGTGTCCAATTATAATGGAGATCGTTCAAACAATGGTTCGTTATCAGCACCAATGGATATTAATTTCACGCTATTTCCTGCTTTCGGTAACTTGCTAGCAGCTGCACTGCAGTGCCATCAAAATGAGAGTAAAGCATTCGTATGCATTAGAGACGGACACTACTCAGGCCGAATTTACTTTCGTCGGTGTAAAACAAACCATTAGAGTAGGTTTCGTATTCACATTTGGGAATCAAATTGCGATTTGGCTTTTGAAAAAGTAAGTTCTTTTTCAAGCAAGAGCATTACCGACAAGCCCGACGGATAACTAATGTTTGGCCAAAAAACGTTTCCCAAATTATCACATCGCAAACAACGTTTCGCAAACTTTTATTTGGCAAATTTTCATCTGGCAAAACTACTTATTGCAAATATTTAATTCGCAAATGTCGTTTTTGGCATATTATTGTTTACCAAATTATTGTTTGGCAAAGTATGTTTTGCCAAATGTTTCATTTGGCAAAAATATTTCACGATAAACAATTTACAAAATAATTTGATTGATGCATAGAATGGAATACAAATAAGCTTGTGGTTATTATTTTGTTTCGTGGGTAGTTAATATAATTTTTTTTCTATACAAATTTTCATGTTTCATTCTTTTTATCGAAATTTCCAAATGATTCATCAACAATAAAGGTGATTCTAGCGCTCGGCGGCCGCTGCCGCGGCACGCTTTGCTCGCCTTCGCGCGTTAATTGTCACTGTTCTAACCTAACCTAGAACCTACTATTCTGCAATACCTACTTTCTACAACCATACTGTTTTTTGCAATCTCTTTGTTTTACATAAAATTCTTGTGAAAACCATGATGTGCATAGGCACACCACCACTTACCCACCGTTACCCACAAATCAAAGCATAGGCAAGTATCTGAAGTGGCAATTTGACGAAACAAATTATTTGGAATATAATATTTGGCACAATAAAACATTTGCCATATAAACATTTGCCAAGTAAAATTTGGCCAAATGATAATTTGACCAAATGAATTAGTTGCGAAAAGAGCATTTGCTAAAAGTTCTTGAAATGAAATTTATTATTAATGAATTAAAAATGAAACTTTGGCGATAACTTGTTTGCGAAGTGAAATTTGGCGAAAAGTAATTTGGCCAAACGGAAGGATACCAACAATCTGTCTCTTGCTCTTGAGTATGATATCGTTGACATGTTATACTCGTAGGGCACGTCAAGCTAAGCTTTGTATCCAATGTAATTGTAATAGGTTCTATTTTAGAATAAAATCCTTACCTGTAGTACTGCGTGACCACCTCCTGCGTCATGTTCTTGCTCGCATCAGGCTCCTCAACCCGCGCGAGTCCGAAGTCGCATATCTTGAGCACGCAATTGCTGTTCACCAGAAGATTCCCTGGTTTGATGTCACGATGGAGGATGCGTGCCGAGTGCAGGTATTTCAGGCCTGGGGATAGATTGATCTAGAATTAGTACTGGTTGGATAGAATATCCTAAAACAAAATAAAAAGTGCACCAACTAATAGCATTTAATAGCAATACTCGATATTTAAGATCTGTTTCACTTGCTGATAAAGCCTATTAGGATCTTATCTATTAGATAAAACTGAATTTTATACGTCAGATAATAATCTGTTGATTTACCGATGAAAGTGGCCCTTAATCTGTTCCCATAGATTTAATTTAACAGACGTTTATTAAAACATCGATGGCCACGATAATTTAGTAATATCCTCGAGAAACATAATGATTATTAACAACACCGGTAATAAACGTTCTGTTTATTATAATGAGCACCTCATAAGCCTGATCAGATAGTAATGGATGAATGAATTTATTGTCCATTGTTTAAGCGTGATAGCCCCTCAAGGCAGTGTGGTAACTGGCAACTGCCCGACACTACTTGTGTACCGCTTTTGGTTGGTTTTTATCAAATTCTATTTTGCCCATTCGATTCCGGTTGAATCCGGCTCAAGTTGGCGGTTTATGCCTGCATATTAGATTTTGAATACAGCAACAGCTGAGTGGTCCATTTTCGGCCTACATAACGTATCTCCATATGCTGCCAACTGCCAAGTAATCCAGGTGACTGACATTTGTAGGGCAGTGTGCGACATTAGAGTTAAACTGAAGAGTTAGATTGCTTTTCTAAATATATTTACTAAAGGCACACTTTTGATAAAAAGGTGATATCCGTACTGCGAGTAATATTAAACAATTCATTGATAAGTGTTGTACTCCTCTTGCAACGTAGTAGCGAAGAGCTTACGGACGGAATGTAAAAAATCGAGCTACAAGAATTGTCTCAGAGCATTCTTTGTGAAAAGAGAATTCATGAGCAGACTTCGTTAATCGAGCCCAGTTTGTTTTGTAGAGCGCACGTCGCCAATACAATTTCAGATGATTCAATAAAAAGGAGTAGAGTTCGCTAATGATTTCACCGGCCAAAGGACCTTTTGGGTTGGTCTCATATACACAGGTTTTTATAAAATTTATACAAAGCGCCTAGACTCGAAACGATTGGAACCTCATTGTCATCTCGTATTAAGAGGAGTTGCAATTTAATTATTGAGTTATTTAAGTAAAAAACAGAGTTTAGTATATAGCATTAAAAGCATGGACTGAATCTGTGTTATAAAGCCGCAGGTATAAGTAAGATTAAGTGGAATAATATCACAGACATTATCTCTTACGATGTGAAATTTCGCTCTCTTCATAAAGCGTGTCAGTCGCATGATTTACATGTGTCTTAAAAAGCAATGTGGCAGCCATTACCGTAATACGCGTCCCATCGAGCCGAATAGAAATCCACGCGAGCGATATTGCGCTCACTTCCATACCGAAAGCCGCATTAGAACTCGGCAATTTTGTGAGGCGTACGTCAGTAGCAAACATTTCTGAATAAATTAAAATCCACCACGAAACGCTCCGGCTGATATCTTGGAAAAAATAGAACCATTCGAGTGTTAAATTATCCCTTTCAATTCGAAGAATTGTTAGCCATCTCTGGGAACGTTAAAACTCCTGTATCTTTTATCTGGCGAGGCTTGCTATAGTGTAGGTCGTGAGATAGGTAGTTTAACGGGTATTGCCGCTGGAGCAATAACTTTTGAGTGCGAGTTATACTACCTATTTGAAGGTGCCTTGGGAAGATGGTTAAAAATTTAGGTGGATAGTATTAAACTAAAAAAACTTTAGTGGTACGTTTTATGAAGTTATCTTTTATGTCCATTGCGGTTATAAAATCGAAACACTCGATTAAGATATTCCGCACATTAACATGTGTGAGTAAAAAACCGAGACTGAATTGGGAAAATATTTCCCACATCGGGATCAAAACTCGAAGCGACGCGGGCGCCTCCGAGTGACGCCACAAGGAATTAACGCCACCTCGTAGAGTTTAATTTCCCAGCGGGTCCGCCATTTTCACCTCCACGCAACGGACTTTTATGATGGCCCTGCTTCGTGCTAACCCAGTACACGTGGAAAGAATTGTAACATTAAACTTTGAGAATAGGCGATGAAAATCAGTTTACTTTCAACCTCGTGTAAACTTTACAGGAGCTTGGGGCCAGTGAAGATTCCAGTTACTTAGATAGACCTGAAACCATAATTGAATGCCAAACAAAGATATCGCAATACCAAAATTGATTTTATTTTGTTTCCGCGGGGCATATTTTCGGCTCGATCCATCCTTTGGCAAAATACTTGTACGGGCAAATGCGACAAAGACCCGAAAAGCTACCCTTTACACAAATTTAATTTTTTATGATAGGAAACTAAAAAGCAAAACGTGTTTTTTAAATTTCCGCTTCAATCTTTCTCGATATCATCAAATACCTATAATGGTATCTAAAATGAGCTACATTATTTAAATAAGAATGTCGTTAGGGTAGCGCATTTTCTTACATAACTTTTCAATTCCTATCATTGGAGGTCCGAAAATATTTCTCATACAATTTGATACCATAATGATCATTCTTCATAAAAAATTTAAAACCTACATATTTAAAAACATAATGATTGATATTCATAATATCACTAATCATACACTTAGTTTTTACTAATATTTGTTTTCATAAATTTATTACTCATAAGTGTATTTATCCATATTATTGAAAATCATGATGTCTATATTCGTATTAAATCGTATTTTAACATTAAATTAATTTGAAATGGTCCAAAACAGGCAATTTTTTGTGCCACAAAACTAACGTGACAGAAACGAATCGCTGCAAAACCGACTCCACGTAGTCTTGTCTGCCCTACCCCTAGAGTGTAATTTAAAAGCCGGAGGCGCGGAGGGAGGGCACGGGACTATTCCCACCTCTCGTTCCCACCACTGCAACTCCTGTGTAGCCAGGATCTACAGCTTGACCGCCACAAAAACCCAACCAATGAAGGTCAAGTTTGTCCCGGGGGAAAGTTAAACTGTCATTGGACCCGCAACGAAATTAATCAGAAGAACATAGGAGGAGTTCGAAATTAAGGTTCGACTTCCCTCCATTGCAAAGCGGATGACAGGTGACAAACAAAGGTTTAAAACCTTTAAGAAAAAGATTATGTACCACGGACAATAAATTAAATTAAGGGGGCCTATCTTATGAGCAATTAGCAACTACCTGCCAATAATATTGTTCACAAAATCGCTTAAAAGCACGGAAATTTTTCCTTGTCGCGACAAGATCGGTGTAATAAATTGCGGAAACAGATGTATGTTGTATTGAATTAAGCATTATATCACGTTCATGTTTCCAAAGATCACACTCCCACAAGATATGATGGGCAGACTGCTCATGACTGACATCATCAGTGGAACACTCGCAAAAAGGAGACGGAACTAGTTTGAATTCGTGAAGTTTATGTTTAAAGTTGCCATGTCCCGTGAGGAACTGCGACGAGCAATGGTCGATTTCTAACCATCGCCTAGTTAGACGTTCGCGTACATTCGGGAAGAATTTATATAAGTGACGTCCTTTGACTGACGTATCCCATCTTTTTTGCCATTCATTAAGTAAATCTTCTTCAACGACTTCTCGGGAATCAAATAATCGACTTATTTTAGAACGATCGCGGCTATTTAAGAAATCGGAGGTTATATTTTCCCTTGATGCGAAGTACATAGCCGCACGCTTTTGTACCTCTAAGTCGACCGGCAGTACACCAGCCAGGACTGGCAGAGCCTCCGTGCTCACAGTTCTGTAAGCTTTGCAAAGAAAAATCAATGCAAGGCGTTGACTTTGAATAGGATAGAATTTTATGTGAGCCAATATAGAACCGTCGTTAGGCTTAAGGTTATCTAAGTTATTTCCCTTCACAGGACGTTACTACGCCCGTGATCGACACTATGCGTAATCAGGCGAGAACAATCGCTTCCGAGAACAGCTGCTACCGATTGAAAAAAATCTCAATTCCTGGACGAATCTTTTCCAATAAAATAGCGTGAAAATTGGCTAAAATAATTATTCGAACAGTTCTGTTTTTGGATGTTTGGCTTTTAGAATGGAATATACAGGCCAAGAGCTTCCTCGTTGTGGATAAAAAAAAATTAAAAGTAGTAAATGGAAATACCATTATAAACAGAGGCCTGAACCGACGAAACTTCACGTAATGAGAAAATATACGACTGTGATTGATCCGTTTTCCGAGTTAAAATGCGTCATAGCTGTCACTGCTTGTGATGTTTTATCACAGGCCGCGCACGAGCCTTTAAAAATATTTACTGACACGTGGATTCATTCGATTGTCCTAATTCGTGCATACTACTGGAAAGCGCAAATAATTCTACAATGCGTAGAAGTGTATAAAAACAAAATAGAAAGGTTCAGAAGGCTTATGACGAATGTGTTTAAAAAAAATAGTAATGCCCCATCTGAAACCACAGCAACAGTTCTTTTGATTTTGATGAATACTAGTTTCATGAATACTAGTTTCTGTTGAGTAGAGTTACGTCTATGCGTTATGTCTCTTCGCCGTCTTAAAAACGACCTACGCTGCACGCCTTTCGCACGTCACATCCGGCAGTGTTATCCGCAACCCTCAAACAAGTATAACAGCGGGGTTACTCTGAAAAACGTAATCCGAAGTTTCGAATGTTGCCATTCCTCGCACACGAAGAGAGATGCCAGCACAGCATGAGCGACGGTGACCGATAGACCTGAAACTACGTAATCAGCGTTTCAGAGTAGCCCCCCAGGTCCAAAGTTGTCGTTATTTTTGAAACTTAAGATAAAGCAATTGACACCATAGTGCCCCAGTTTAAGGTTTAAATGAGGTTACTGCAATAGTTTTCAGAGTGGCACGCAGCAGCGCCGACCGCGGTGGGTCTCGACTCTCGCGGGTCGTCGGCCGGCGCGCGCGCCGGACCGCGTCGCCCGCTAGTCCTACTCCTGCGGGGACAATGCTCCTAGGGTTGCCCGTTCCCTTTTAACATCTGTTCTCTAAACT